TGCTGAGGTCAGGTCGCACACGATGCTTGCTGTTTTCCCGTGACCAGTAATGTCAGGTTATCGCATAACAAATTGTGTAGAAGTGATTGGCATTTAATTTGCTGATTAGTTCATTTATGAGCTTATATCCACAGGAGGGTGAAAGAACCCCACCCTACGAGCAGCCTTTCTTTTTTGGACTGCTTGAGATTCACCAGCAATGTTTATTATTCGTGAACTATAGTCAACCAAATTAAGAAATAAATTTTGACAGCTGTCAAAATTATTGCACCAAGCATGCCAACCAAAAAAATGGGAACGTACAATATTCGATTCTTAAAAAAAACATTTACAGTTTGGTTTGAATAATACCAGAAAAAATTAAAAACGGATAATTTAAACCACAAATTTTATCAATTTCTTCGAATTTGTCGTTACTGCTTATTTCTAGAGACACAGTTATAAAAATTTTAGATTGAAACTAGATTAAAAATAAATTTATTAAATCACTTTCAGTACAACTAGTTGAGGTGTCGTTATTTAGATTTAATTACTATTTGAATATAATAATGTAGTCAAAATTAATGCCTCTTTGAAAGTCATCCATAATCAATATTTTTGTTTTTACCACTTTTGCCCAATCATCCTTTGTGACATGGGCACATGCTTCAACGAATATAAAAGATACAGTTGAAAAAGTTAAAGCAGAGTCACAAAATAAGAAGACAAACACAAAATCCCAAAATTACGCACAGTAAGCTCCCGAAATGGCGGGAGATTGAAATTACGTAGTGGTTTTTTCGGCGCGGTCTTGTATATGACTTTTTTGCCTACACAAATTTACGTTAACAAAGTAAAAAAATAAACTTGTTTTATTCATAATCCATGTAATTTAAGAAATTTTAAAAATAAAAATTTTATTAAACAAATAATACATAAAAAAATTAATGATTCGATTATATGAATATTTTTACCGATTATTTGAATATTTTTGTCGATTATTCGCATAACAATTAATTTTAATCATCCAAACACTACGATAAGGTACATAGTGACATATCATTGAAGCGACGACAAGTAAAAAATTTGATACTGGTTATTTTTTAATATTTTGCTTTGTTTGAAAGATTCGAATTCAAATTAGTGATAAAAAACTATACACATTGTAATGAAATATAGATAACTTCAGAACCGGATTTACGTAAAAGGTTAATTTAAATCGTGTGAGTACGTTTGTGCAAAGTTATTGCGGAATGATTAATGTGAAACGTCAAAAGGTATTTCTTAGATTTGGTTGACTATAAGCATGTTTACTATTGAGTCAATCAGTGCCGATTTAACTCTGTCTACTTTGTGCACCTTTTATGCTGGCGATTGATTGTTATTTTAAGCTATTGTTAATGCCATTAACAAATCAAATCATTTTCAATCTAACAGTTTATTTGGTGCAATAATTTTTACAAAATTACACAATCCCTATAGATCCGAGTTTGGATCATCTGGTCTGAGCACATCGGCAGAATTGGCGAGAAGTTAGGTCGCCTTCCTTCGGATAACCGTGCATACTGATCTCTCGCCTCAGGACTTCTGTCAGTCATCTCTTCCATCTCTCATTGCACTTCCATCTGTGCCAAATTTCTCAGGAATCTTCTTTTCTAGTTGATCTTTGCTTAACAAAGTCTCGGATTGGGGGCGACTAAATCTGGGCCAATTCAATCCGCAGAAGACACGAGTTTGCGCGTTAACCGCTAAAAAGAACCCCTTTGTCGTATCTCCTCAGTTTGAAGGCACTTCCCTTACTGCCTCAGCTAGCATCAGATACCTCGGCGTCGACATATCGAATAGTGTGCAGTTTCGTGGTCACTTGAAAGGGAAGGCCAAATTGGCCTCTAAAGAACTTGGCGTGCTCAGCAGATCGAGACGGTATTTCATGCTGGCACATCGCTTGCAACTTTACAAAGCGCAAGTTCGGCCTCACATGGAATACTGTTCTCATCTCTGGGCCGGGGCACCCTAGTGCCAGCTACTTCCACTTGACCGCATCCAGCGCAGAGAGATTCGAATCGTCGACGACCGAGTGCTTTCTGAACGGCTCGATTCACTTGCGCTGCGTAGGAATGTTGCATCCCTTTGCGTTTTTTCTCGTATCTACCATGGGGAGTGTTCTGAGGAATTGTTCGGATTAGTTCCAGCCGCCAAATTTCACGAACGCACATCGCGTCAAAATTCCCGATACCATCCTCACTATCTGGATGCTTGGCGGTCCACCACTGTACGTTTTACTAGGAGTTTTCTTCCTCACACAACTTTTCTGTGGAATTGTTTACCACCGGCGACTTTTCCGGACCGATACGACTCAGGGACTTTCAAGAAAAGAGCTTACCCCTATCTAAAAGGCCGGCAACGCATCTGCAATTCCCCTGGTGTTGCGGTTGTTCATGGGCATCGGTAGTCACTTACCATCAGGTGAGCCGCATGCTCGTTTGCGCCCTCTTCTATAAATAAAATTAAAATGCAAAATTTGCGTTGAATTTTTTACTCACAGTTGACATTTGCGAAATTGCTAACACTCGTGATAAAACACCTTCTTTATGTCTATAGATGTACCTACTCATACATGCTCGTCGCTTAAGGGTATTCTACAAAACATATTTTGTATAATAATAATTACGGAGTAATAAATCTTTTGATCACTCTTCCCGCCAAGTTTTCTCGAAAAAATCATTATGGATTATGTGCTAAGAAATCATTTATCTATTTGATTACACGCAGTGATCACAATGCCGCAATGGCTAGTAACAAACTTACCCATATCTTCATCACTTCTTGTGATACGATCACTACTGTAGAGACAACGACTATCAGATCGTTCCAAGTCGACCAACAGTAGTCTCTACATAAATTTTACTTATTATCATAAAATAAAATGTTCAAGAGTTTATGACTCTTGAACATTTTATTTTATGATATTGTTCATTTATTATTTATTTTTAATTGTTCGTTACGCCTACTTACACTACGTACGTACACTTCACTTCATTTTATTTTTACGAGCACTCATCTGTATGTTCAGTCATCCCGTTAAATCGCAATGACGACTGAACTAGACATCTACCAACATCACACGCGCACCGCAGCTACTCTTTGAACTACGGCTACTGTATGGTTGTTGACATAGTCAAAACACAAAATAAAATGACGTAAACAACTCTACAATTTAACAGGGTTATTGATCACCCAAATAGAGTCAGGTCAGTCAATTGAAATAACCTTGGCTTTCATGCATTTCTTTCAGCAAATTAAAAAGTCAACCACTATTTACTACAATGCACAAAGCAATATTTCAGACAAATTTATTAATTTTGCAAATGATTTATTTAATATGATAATTTTCAACCACAGATATTAGATTTATAGCAAATAATAATTGTTACGATCCATATTTTCAGACAAGTGAAGCCTATAAATGTAATAAATAAAAAGAATACACGTTTGATGTTATTATAGAATATTTTTTTTTTTTGAAAGAATGTTTAGGAAAGAAACATTAAAGTTTACATTTTCCTAAGAAATTATCGTCCCCGCTATGAAAGCTGTCAAATATTTTTCCTCTTTGTAAAGTGGCGCTGCCATGGTGACAAAATAAGTCGTGGTCACTAATGACATATTAGGGTCATTCCATGTCAATTCAGCATAATTTTAGGAGATTTTCAGAATTGATGTCTTAGATTTTCATGATTTTTTTAATGCAGCAATATATCATAGACTTATGAAACAATACCAAATTTCAGTTATGTAACATAATTATTTTTGAAGTTATTAATATTTATGAAAAAATGTCTTGTTTTGGCATCTTTGAATGCCCATAGACTGAGAATCAATGATGATATAAACCTGGGAGTGGTCTCATTTTGAAGTTCTTGAATGGGGCTTTTATAAAAAAAAATTATAAATCACAAAATAGGGTTACAATTTTAAAGAAATGAAAATTTTAAAATTTAATTTTAATTTTAAAAATTTAAATAAAATTAAATTTAAATATTTTTTTAGTGGCAATTTTAAAAATTTCAAAAATTATCAAATATAGTTTATAATGTCTTAATACCTATAGCAAATTAAATTCTATCATGGGATCTCAATCCCCCAGTGCCCCGTCTCTCCTCTCTACCTTCCCAACTCACCGCTAGGGAGTTTTTTTCAAATAAGTAAGTTCCTCTGGCGCATCCTGTATATCATGTTTATTCCTTACCAGGTAAGGTTAGCCAATAATGCAAACTAATAACAGGAAGGGATCTGGGAAAACTATTGTAACTATTACTGTCTACTATATTAGCTTAGTAGCTTCCTGATTAATATGAGACATTGAACGTAGTCAAAAGCATGTGAATTCTTCTACGCTCAGAAAATATGTTTAATGAGCTCAGCATCAGTTGTCGAGTAATCCCTTTGAAAACGAAAGTGATATTTTTAGAGTAATTTATTATATAGTTTATAGAGGTATACCTACATACTACACATATTCGTGCAATTTCATAGATGTAACTGTGGTTTTGTCTATTAAAAGTCACGTACAAGTCCCCCTATAGATTGCCTTGTGGCTTATTTCTTATATTTGGCATAGTTACCACGCTCGATGAGGTGAGTTGTAATCATAGTTTTTCTCATTTGGTTCCATTCACATGATTGTGATGAAACTATTGTGGAGTTTTTATGCCTTCATTGGTGAAGAAAAGATATACTATATGTATTATATATACAATATATAGCGGGTATACACTTACGGTTTGTTGTGTAGTGGTGTAATATCCAATACCCTATTTTGTCCTGTGGGTGTTGTAAAAGACAACAGGGGGAAACAAACTAGTAAATGAGCAGCAGCATCTTTCTAATAAGAAATAGATATTAAAAAATTGAAGCTGTTAACCCGCCTACCAAGTGTGGCAAGTATGGCAAATATCAATATGGGAGGGCCATATGTTCAGCAGTGGACATTTTAGTGTAACGATGCTGATGGCTTACAGTTGGAGGAGAGGAGCATAGAGCTGGAAGGCGCCCGCGCGCGCCTGCGGCAGCTGGAGGGCAGGCGGTCGGAGGGCTCGCGCGGCGCGCACAGCAGCATGCGCGACATGCAGCCGCTGCACATGCCCGACGAGGACGAGCGCGCATCCGCAGCGCCTGCCACGCCGAGGCGCCGGCCCAGCCGCATCCCGCTGCACACGGCGAACAAGGGCACGGCGCCGCGCCCGCCGCCGCGCCCCGGCTCGGCGCACTCGGCGCGCTCGGCCGCGTCCAGCCGCAGCCGCACGCCGCGCGACGCTTCCGTCCCGCGCAAGGACGCCAAGTCCGCCGTCCCGCTCCGCCGCACGCCGCCACACGACAAGGTTCGCGGCAAATCCTTCTGGAACTCATGGTTCACCTTCAAAGACTCGACCTAGTAAAAACTAAAACCGTACTCCCCAACCACCACTCATATCCCGATCCGAAGTGCTAATAAACCCAACAGTACCCACCGTGTGACAGTGCACCCAGTGACTCACTAACGTCCGGTGTCGGTTGCCGCCGCAAGATGGCGTCCGATGGCGCGCGCTATGCCATTATGTCGATCGTAAGTTTTGAGTTTTTTTTTTTTCGTTTTTTTCATTTTTATTTTCATGTTACGTGTAGTTCTCGTTATCGGTCCGTTCTATTGTCACTTAACCCGATTGTAATATGTATGGGTTTTGTTCTTTATTTATCGCATAGATGATGATCCGATCGATAAGGAGTTATTAACTGTTAAAAATATTATAACATTAAAATCTATTTTACCAAATTCTTTGTTCAACCTTTACAAACTAGATTTATCAGATGGATACTTAATTAACAATGAGGGCGTCCATAATTTTTTCTGCCACGAGGGCCACGTCACTTGGGAATGACGTGAAATATTTAACAAATATCATAAAAGGAAAGTAAAATTATTAGATAAATATGAAATTTTACGTTTATCTCTGAAATATTTATATATTTTATATTAATCACATAAAAATAATAAACTAAACTATACATTAATGGAAATAAAAATTTAAAGAATTAAAATTGTGTTAAAAATTACAAAGCACACTGAGACATTGTTTTATGTATATCATCAAAAACTTTTATTTATAACTTAACTTTTCATATAAAGTGACACTGTGAAGGTTACAATTATCTTCACCTCAGTCCCAAGCAGCGACACCTGGTGAGCAGTAAATAATTAACCCTCATTAGCATGAAATTATTTCTTGTGTATTTGTTACTAATTTAATATGTGATGGTTTGTTTCTTTAATGTCAGTAATTAACTAAATCTCTACAATTTACATTCTTCATTCATCATATTAAAAACACATGTCACATACCAGACACGACTAAAGCTTGAAATAACTGATATGTGTGCCTCATACAAAATTTGTTTCAGATTCTTAAAATGTCATTCAGAAAAGCATACTAAAGGTTTACTTTATTTATTTACATTAGAATAAAACATTTTATACATAAATTAAGACATTAACCATTTAGTTAAAATATACAAATTAGAAATAATATGAGAGTGTAATACAATAATAGAATGCTAAATAATAAGTATAATATAATAAAAAGAAATCGTAATTAAGTGGATTAGAAACAAAATTTTAGACCATTTTATGCAATATATAGACAAAACAATTTTAAGTTATAACAATCTTATGCTTAAAGTAACATATATCTATTATTATTCTTAAAATTAAAGAATATATTGTAATAATTGCTCCAGGTGGTAGGCCTTTTTGTTTGCTTAAGATTCTCCTTAGAAAGGTATCACTTCGTTTAAGTTGTCGGTTTCTGACTGTTGTGTTCCAGTTGAAAGGGTGACAGACAGCGTAAATAATACGGCATAGGACTCACAGATTATCATATGACTATTGCATGTCATTTCTCCAGTGACATTACCTCAGCAGCCCTAGGTGTCCGTGGTCTGCGGCAGCCGAACTGCTTGCTGTTTGTCAGCCTAATATTATATAAATCACATAATAATAAATTTAGAGTTTGTGAACAAGGCAGTGATTTCATTATATATTTAAAATCGATGGCGGATTCAAGCATGCTTATATAATTATTAGTTTCTACTTAGTTCAGCAACAACTGTTAAAGTAAATTTTTTATTAAGACTTAACACACTTGTGGAATATTTCTAGCTTTATAGTCGTGTTTCATGCATTTATAACTCATTGCCATTGTTTATATACATTATTACTACATCTCAGATTCTTACCAAAATTATTTTTTTCATGTAAAGTTCCTAATAGAAATCATTCATTCATTGTAACTGTTAGTTTAACATATTTATTGTTGACGATTTAATTTGTTTCTTAGTTCTGGTTTCACCAAACTATAGTTAGAACTCTTACTTAGGCATTTACTAAAACAATAAAAGAATGGCACACAACTTATAAACAAATTAAAGGAAAAAATTGTTTTACAAATTTTAATGTATTTACATACATAGCTTTACAGCTTAACTTAAGTAAAAATACTTGTTAAATCGCCGCCGCCTGTCGGAAATGTGCCCAGAGAACTGGTTGAGTTGCCTGGCTGTTTTGCCGGGTAGATCCGCTGACCAAAATATCTGCAGGTTTTCGGTCACCAGAGACAGACAAAGCGTGTTATTTGATATTTACTTTAGATGTTTCTTTACCACTACAAAATATAATTATCAAAATTAAATCCGTATAAGTAAAGTAAATCTGTATAAGTCCTAACATAGTTTCCACAAAAAAGGTGATTTGTTTATAGGTTGTATTGTCGTTATCGTAATTGTCATAAGAAGGAAAAGCAAGTTTAGTGAACCATAAGTACATGGTATGCGTACTTATTGCATTTAATTAAAACATGTACGAATTAAAATTAAGAACTCTTAGTTGTAAGTACTAGTTACTTACTATAGTTTGTAATCATTTTTAACGAGATATAATAATTTTTACTTATAGAAGAAAAAGGGGCTCTTTCATCATAATTACATCGACTTTTCCATCTCTTACCACATCGTCACTCCCAGTGACTCAAACTCTAGAGGGACGCCTGTTTCGCATACCAGCGTGAGGCTTCCACTCGAGAATCTTCTCTATCAGTTGTCGGTTCTTCGATTTACATGCATTGCCACTTTAGCAATCCGTTGCAATATGTCGTTTACTTTGGTTCTAGTTCTTTAAAGCTCGCTTAGCAACCTTGAGTTTCCTCACACGGTCCGCAGTGAAGAATCACATTTTTAATCCATGTGTTATCATCACTGGCAATATGCACTTGATGTACCTAAACACTCTTGTTTTAAAGTTTTGAGGTTTCTTATAACTGAAGAATTTGTGTCGTAATCAACCGAATGCTGCCCAGACGAGTTTGAACCGTCGATTGACTTCTCGGTCGAATTCAGACTTACCTTGCCGGACGATTTGTCCAAGGTATAATATTGACTTTGTTATAGTATGTAAATATGTTCGTCAACAATTTCGAGCGTAGTGTCCCTTCCCTCACTGCCGTTATGACTATAGGTGTGACATGGAATTTACGTCTGAACTTTTGGGAGATGCTTTTAAAATAGTTGAAGTTAAAGCATAGTGCTGAAGTCCGCCAGGGTCCTAATTAGTTTTAGGGATATTACGACACCCTCTCACACCACTGACACCACTCCGCAGTTGTTAGCCTCAGGTTGCGTACTCCGGTTCTGAACTAGGATAGCATTCGTAGCCCGACTGTACAAACACTTCAGCACTACGATGTACCCACAGTCAACGCACTGGCAACAACGTGGCACTGCTGACACGGCCCAAATTTCGAGGGAATCAAAGACTATCTCATAGTCTATATATGCCAGGCAAAGTGGCAGATTGTACTTTTTGATTTTCTGAGCAATTTGCCAAAGGGTTTGTATGTGATCTATTGGATATCAAGCTTTTTGAAAACCAGATTTTTCGGGAAGCTGGAATTCGGTATCGGTTTGCTGTTTTTCAATAGAGGGTTGTCGCTTTTCTTGAAGAACAAAATTAAAGCACGTCTGCTCCACGCCTCCGGAGTAGTGACGATTCGGAGGACGGATTTGAAGAGTTTATGAAAGACTTGAATTCAGGTTTTCCACTCGTTTTCAGAAGCTCCTCTATAATTCCATCCGTGCTCGGTACATTGCCATTTTCAAGGTGCTAAAGAGCCATTCTAATCCCGCTTAGACTGAACTGGTGTCATGGATATCATCGGAATAGTTTCGGATGAGACATAAATAGCTTATATTTAAATCTGAAGAGTGAAATTAGTTGTTCATTGTTACATTTTATTTTTCATTCAATTTTACAAGTTGAGATATAACATTTTACATTTAACCAGAAAATGTACAAACCAAAAGTTATATTTTATTAACTTTGTTAAAATAAGAAAAATTAAAATGTTTATTTTAGTATATAATTTTCTAAGTAATCCATTGTATTTACATTAGATTAGTTTGTAGTCCTAATTAGAATAAATAAAGGTAAGTTTTATTTAATTGCCACTATCACGTAACAAAATTCACTTATATAGGCGAGGCAAGTAGATTTGATCTCAGTTTTTCTTTAGTGTTTTATTTTTTATTTCATTTATTGACATAGTGGCATAACAAGAAATACTATTGGTTAACCACAGATCAAAATTGACACTACACTGCTATGCACTGTTCAAAATGTTCCAACGGCACGCAGTAGGTATAGCGGCAAAAACGTACACCGCGGTGTGCAAGCAAACTTCATGCATTACTTTATTTATAAAACCCATACAAGTAAAATAATTGTTATAGAATAGTTTTTATGCTCACCTATTAACTAAGTCATTGCCACGGAATGATTAATGTACATGATCTTAGAATGGAATTTCGCTGCTAATGTGTATGTAGTCATCATCATGGGCAGTATAACGATTTCATGTTAACTTGATTGTTTTTGAATAATTCATTTTTATCAATTGACTACAGACGTTAGACACCCATGACGATTGCTCTTTAGTTGTCAATGGATGGCATTGTGGCATTGATTTTATTTTGTATTTGGGTAATTTATTAAACTGAATTAAAAAGCTGACGTTTACTGTCGTGTAATTGTTAATATTATGCTATGAATGAGCGTGACTATAGTTTTTTATCATAATAGTAATTCTGAAAATGAACAACGGGTTAAAAACCTACAATTTTGGGCCAGAAACTTCTATGATTTTGATAACTATTAACATCCGTCACAAGCATAATGTTTACATTACTTTCTGCAAAACTATAGTTTTTTTTAGTGAGGATATTCAATTCCAATTTTTATTTTATGTAACCAGGTAATGAAAGTGTCTCAGAAATCTAAATCAAGCGGGAAACGGGTATTAAAAAATTAAGTTATGTATTTTTTTAAATAATTAGCATTTTAAAAAAATCGAGATAATCTGTTGTCTTTTAACACCCGTTATTACAAATCTTTATTTATTTTTACCCGACTGCCAAGGAATCGCGCGTATCCTGTATGCTTGTAAATTTCTTTATTACCTCGTATCTTCCAAACCACTGGATGGAAAACTCAAGTGTTCTTAGATAGGTTTTTTAAATAAACAAAATGGCGGATTTTTGGCGCAAAATAGTAATACGGTAATAAAAAATAATTTACCAAACTTATCGAATAGGGTATCAAAATAATGGAAATTGTCAATGTTCTTCATTTTGGAGATCTGATGCAATTACCCGCTAAAGGTGTCGAAAGTTGCTGGAGGATCTTATTGCTTTCGTCAGCCACGGATATTGTCCGCCGAAATTGATTTGTGGCACTTATATTGTTCAGTTTCTGCGAATCACCTCAAAATATCAGGCAAGCTGGAGATACTTCTTTTGTAGATGTATTGAATAGTCTTCACGCTGGACAATTGGCAATGCTGTAGTTGTCCATAATAGGTAGCCGAAGAGTACCCTGGACAGGAGCATTCGGTGACGGGGAAGCCGTTAGAACTTTTCCTATAACTAAGCTTGTGGAAAATTATACTTCCACCATAACTGAAGACCCAGAAAAACGCACTACTTTTTAATATTAATGCAGTAGATATCTCACTGGATCCTAAAACATACGGCCAAACTCAATAAAACAGGGGGTATACCAAACATGATAAAACTTGGCATTGGGTCACGAGCAATGTTAAGGCGCAATATAAATGTTAATCATGATCAATGGTGCTATGGGCGTGATCCGTAACATAAAATGGCCTGCTGTACGCCGAGACCAGCTGGACGCGGGAGAACTGCTCAAGCTGTAGTTCTTGAGTTTGATGACTTTAGTATAACTGGCGACCGACACGGCTTTGGTGTCCGCATTTAGCTTTGTACTTTTGAATTTGATGCTTAACGTAGTAAAAGAATGATCGAGCGACGTATGCATCCACTAATATTAAGCTGGCCAGTGACAGTATATAAATTACAAGGAAAACCTTTAGACCAGACTGTTGTTTATTTAAGCAGTAATAGTTGTAATTTTCATTTGTCTGTTTTGTTTAACATGCCATCGATCATCTCTACATTTTGCCTGAATTATATCAGTAACACAGTCTTTCTTCATAAGAGTATGCCGGGAAACTAAAAGTTCTTAAATAAAATAAATAATTAAAAAAATTAAAACCCGACTGCAAAAAATTTCAATTTAAAAGTAAAGCACTAAAAGACCGAAACAAGCTTGAGATTAGAAAACAAAATTAGAGTAAACTATAAACAAAGTAAACTCTACTTCAGTTTAACAGACTATAATATTATTATGAGCTGACAGCCTAAGTTATATATTAAGTTTAGTAGGAAGCGGAACCCATTAATTTTCTTTACAATCGAAATTTTCACAGAATGTTTTTTCTATTGCTCATCATCATCATCATCATTACAGCCCTTCACAAGTCTACTGTTGAACATAGGCCTCCCCCAAGTAATGCCACAAATCACGGTCCTGAGCCACCTGCATCCATCGACTTCCTGCATGTCTTACCCTGGCATCAACAGGATACCACGAAACCACAAGCCCCGTCACTCTATTGCTACTATAACAATAAATAATAAAAATAAATTAAAAATGAAATGGCTCCCATACTAGAAACATATTTGTTTTTTTTTTTTTTGCTTTTCATGCTCGATCTTAATAATGGCAACAAGTAGACGCTTGTAGACGCTCACAGTTTGTATTTCTATGTTCGCTAAAAATATAATGAAATAAAATAATATTTGAAAACTAAAGGGGGTCCCCAACAGGAGACGTGTATTAAATATTGTACGATGGTACGGGAACACTTCACGCGCGAGGCCGATTCGCACTGCCGGTTTAAAAAAAAATGTCGAATCATCAGATCATTAAAACTTTCTCGAAGAATCGCAGATCTTCCCGATGTCTTTCTTTAATCGTTTGAAAAAACGCAACCTTTGGAAGATAATCCCGGGGTAGTAAAGTTTAAGCTCGCTGCACGTGATACGGGCGGAACTTTTTTCTGTGAGATTCGGTGGGCTGTACTTTTGGGTTATCCTGTGCTTGCTTCAATTACACATACTCAACTACTATTCGGGTTTTCTTCGATTGCTTGTTGTACGATATCTTCGTAAGGAAAAGAAATTCTTCTAATCGAAGAATCATTTTAAATAAGTAAAAAAAAGTGTTTTAAAAACTGGGTTTCTTCCAATAATCTAGTAAGCGTCATACCATTTTAAATGAAATATTAAATGATAATTTTAAATGAAATATAAATTCATTATAAAATGCGCCAACTTTTAGTTACTTGCCAAACTATCGTAGTACATTTTTCAGTACAGGCAGTTAAAATTGGGCGAAGTATTAACTTTGAATACTTAGGCAAAAAGTGATATTTTCTTCCAAGCTGGGGCAGTTAATTACTTGCCAAACTACTAGTATTTTCATACACAGTAAAATTAAAATATTAACTTTGAATACTTAGGCAAAAAGTGATATTTTCTTCCAAGCTGGAGCAATTGGCTTTAAATTTTTGGCAACAAGTTACAGAAGCTTTATTCAGGATTACATAAAAAAAATAAAAAAATATAAATAATTGGTAGTATCAGGAGTTAAAAGACTATCACGGGATATATATTTCCTCCTTTATTTTTTAAAAGGTCTATTATTTTTAAAAATTCATACATAACTTAATTTTTTATTTTATTTTTGTAATAACTATGATAACTTGGCCTATCACTCGTTTCTGGTTTGACGTCGATTTCTGGTACAACACCTGTGTTGGCAGATAAATAAAGATGCCAATGTCGGTTCGCAGCGCTACCACGACTCGCTGACACTGCAAACACGTCGCGACGCACTCGTGGCGGAGTACGTGGCCCGGACCTCGCGCCTCGCCCCCCTGTTCCCCCGCCTGCACACAGTACGCACGCGCCCCTTGCCGGCCGACCTGCTCGAGGACTGCCGCCTCGCCTACGAACCCCCGCAAAACCTCGCCCTCGAACTAACCAAATCGATCCTCTACGAGAATACTGACTCTATTGATATTCAAACACTCAAATCCCTAAACTCCCACGGTGATGACTCGCTCTGGAACGGTAAACCGCAACAGTACTTCGAGAGCATGAATTACGGACGTAACGGTGAACCTGAAGACGTTCCAGAAATTAAAGACTTTGAAAGTGATTCGTTAGCTCAGTGATGAATTTTGTATTGGTTTTAAGTCTGTTTAAAGTTATTTTTTGAACTGGACTTCGTATTAAAATGATTTGTTAAATTATGAAATTGGCAAAATTGACAAATATGTTGTTATTCATGTTCGGTTAAATTAATAATCATCATTACGAAAAACTGCTGTGTATTATATTATGTATGAAAGTGTTTTAAATCGACAAAACTTATTGGTAAATTGATAAAAAGAGCCAACCCAACTTCAACTTTGTTTTTATTTGTATAAAATATGTAATGGCTCGAAGGTCTCAATCCTAATAAGTAATTATAATTCTACGACTTGTTTAAAGGCTAATGTAGAATTTTAACAGAGTAAACGTTGTAAAAAGCAAAAATTATAAATGCTATGAGTTTGTGATCGATTAAGGTCAACAGTTCTCGGCTAAACAATATCCTTTTATATTCTTTTTCCATAAAATCTTAAGCATTCCACACTACACCTCTAGAAATGTCTCGACCAATCTGTGATAATGTCACATTTTACTAATTGTGGTACAAGTGGTTGTTTAATTTCTTAAAAAAATATCGCCCTAATATATAGATATTGATTAGTGAAATGAACTGTGTTAATTTTACGTATATTATTATTGTATAATACACGATTTCCTTATTGGTGAATGATAAACTTAATTTTAATTATTCATTTCTTTTATATTTTTATTCAACTATATGTAATGTACTTCTGAATAAGTAATTGTGCAAGAATATGTTCGTAACATGAGGAATTATTGTGCATAAATGGTAGCTATTGTCATTCCTAAGCCAATATGGCCAGACTGTAATTTATACATGCATATTATATTGTGTGAGAGCTTGCACGACTGGAGTAAGGCTGTGAAACATTGAAGAGTGAGTGTGGAGTTGTTTCTTTTACGTTAAATGGTCGAATTGACAACTGAAGCTTAGTATTCATTTGCTAGAAATATTTGAACTGGATAAATTGGAACAAACCTAGTGTGACAATGTTACGTTAAATTAAAGCTTTGCAATCCCAAACGTTCATTCAGTGTTAATCGTCCTAATACGATAGCGTGTGACTGCCTTTGAAGAGTCGTAAACTTTATTGAGAAAACTAGCCATTTTAGATAACACATTTCTTACAGAGCTCGGTTACAAATAGTAGGAGACTGATTTTGTATTTTAAAGACATAGTGATATGCTTACCAAGGTAGGGGACACTCTTAAGACCTTAATGTAATTTTCTTTGTAAGTAATGTTAATGTTTCTTATTATGTAAAAAAATATTGCCTATTATGGTCCTAAATGTAATTTTTAGCAATATCGTATTCCAATTCTACATACGACTATACTTTATGTAAATTAAAAATAAGTATATAAAGTGTTAACTATTTAGACGGTTAAGTCAAATCGCATTGTACAGCTTCTACCCATGCTACTAGAGTTTGTAAATTATTAAGCAACTCCTATCTAAAATTAAGATACTCAAAAATTTATCTAGTTGACTTGAATCTAATTGATCGTCCGTGTAAAGTTGTACAGAAATCATATCATTATTATACAAATTACTTAAATAAATTGTTCATATCAATTTTATAGTTTCATTTCTCATTATAGGATACACAGCCCAGGTTCGGTGGCTGTTATGTACTAACGCCACAAAATATGTGTATGACTATATACTTTCATTGCCAAACAGAACATCTATTTGTTTATACTTTATTGCACCCAAATAAAAGTACCAATGTTTCTTTTTCTATTTTAATCATGACATTATGGCTAGCACACAACTTTTTAGCTATTACCCTTAGACCTTCGATCAACAATACCAACTAGATAACGGGTCACGTATAAAATCATAGCTAAATACTGTCCGCATGAATATAAACTATGAAAAGACATAAATTAAATAACATTTGGTGTGAAATCAACCTTAATTTATAACAAATAAAGTTCTTTTCCCCGTTATTGCCTTGCGAGCTACACTCTCACGTGCAAGAGCTCACGTCTTATGTGCGCTCTTATTTACTGAGATGGATTTCTTGCGCCGACCCGACATCTATTGGTATTGTTGATCGAAGCCTTAGACTAAATAAAAGACGACAGAGCGCTGCGTATATTGAAGCTGACACAATAACCAAGCCTTACACATACTCTAGTTATTGTAAGAACACGCACTCTTGTACTACCTTGCAATGTACAGACTTGCATCTTACGCGGCCACGTCAGTGTGCTTCGCTTTAAGGCTTGCCCTCGCGCCAACGACATTGGGTGTTTGGACAGAAAACTCTACCGCTCTCCGCGCCATCCTCGTTTCTCGCTACAACATTGCCATCGCGTAGGTACCGTATACGTATGCCGTATATCCCGAGGCCCAAGACCTGCAGGGCCTAAGGAGCCCTTGCAGAAGACAACGTACCGTACCTACACCACTCATAGAGTAATAAACTTACAGAGAGGTCACTAATGTTTTAGTACCTTTATTGTTTATTCTATAATCATCATACGTGTATGTTGTTTTTATTGAATTTTAATTTTTTTAAATGATTTCGTTAACATGACTCAAAATAAAGGATGAGTAATTTTATTTAGGGCCCATCCCTTAAAAATAAATGTTGTATGTGTGTGCATTATGATATGACTAATGGTGGTTTTTATATGATTAATGGACTGTATAGCATCAAATTAACTAGGAAAAAAAATTGATTAAAGATTTGTAGGGTTAGGTGTGTTTAGTTGCCTTACCTAGAAAAGGCAAATTCTAGATAAGTCAGTGCCCAAACAACGCCGCAAATACTAAATCCATCGTATCGGAGTTGGCAGAAGCATCAAAACATTGTATAAAACATCTCAATAAAAAGGATGACATAGGGAGGACTTAATTCCTTTTAGTATTCTCTCCCAGTCAATCCAGGATCTGTGGAAATAGTGTGATAGGTGCCAGTGGCGAAGCTAGGGCTCCAAACTAGGGCAAGCCCAAGATAAAGTTTGTTTTTAGCAGTTTTATAAAAATACACCAATCTTGATCTGTCTCCACTTTTCAGTTTCATATTCAGTATTGTGCTGTTAAGGACGTGTTTAACAAAGCACACAGAAGGCATACTACTGCTAGATAGATTGTATTACATATCAGCAATAGCATAGCTTCGGTGGCTTTGAAAAAAGCCGTTTGAGTTTGTTTGAGCTAAATAAAAAGATATTTACATACAATACAATACGTGAACAAAGTACAAAAAAAACTACATCTGCACAAAATTATAAAAACAAATTATTTATATTCTAAATCGAATTGTCTCTTTCTGGAAAGATTTGATTACGTCCTCGTAAAATGTTGGTGAACGTTTTAATTGTACCAATAACTGTTTTTCAATTGCGATAGTTGATAAGTCTGAGAGACGCCCTTGACCTTGTGTATTTCTCAAATACGTATGGAGGCGCTTCAGAGATGAGAAAGCACGTTCCGCGAGGGACTTGTGGCTGGAATAGTTACGACAAGATAAGCTAACTTTAAAAGTTCTCTTCAAGGCTATTTTCGTATACAAAGTCAATGAGTTCGAAAACATTGCGGTCTTTTAATTCATGGGAGGAATACAATGAAATCAATTGGTTTTTCAATGTCGGTTTATCAAAATGGTTTGCGTAATTTTCAAATAATGAATCTAATGTCTCTAAAGGAAAATCTGAACGATATTTTTCGATTAGTTTATTGTTGAACAATTGGAAAAAATGTAATTTGAAATGTAAATTTCAGAATATCGGTCATTAATTTCTGAAGATATGTTATCAATTATTTCAACAAAAAGTCGTTTGTATTCTATCTGAGCTCAGCGCACATTACGTCTCAAATGAGGAGCAGAATTATTTTGCAATATGTTTTCATAAATGTGATCAAATCTGACTGAAATTCGGTACGTAACCATGTCTGACTCATTTATTTTATTACTGCAATAACCGACATCAACTTGTGATTTTTGTAAAACATTCTACAAGCAGTCGGTTTTTTCAAATACCCTGCGGAAAATTGAAAGAAAAAATTTCAAATTCCATGAACGCAATGTGTTTTTTCAAAATTCTCGGCGGCCAAGATCGTATCGCCGTCCCAGTTCTGCAGATTGTCGAACGTATCCGAAAACAAATTAATCAGATTATCTTTTTGTTCAAATACTATATTCACAATTCGTGACGTATACGTCCAACGAGTTGCGAGAGCATTAGGCATTTTTTTGTTGCTGTTATTTAAAAAAAATAAAGCCTGATGGGTTGGAAAAAAATGCTGACTTCCCCAATCCTGTTACAAGATTTAGATTAAACTAATGCCAAAATGTGTGCAATACACCAAATATACATGGCTTGGGGATAGACATCTTTAACTTTTTGTTGCATCCCATTGACACTGCACCGTCATAGCTTTGCGCAACTAGTTTCGTGGTGCAGTCATGTTTGTTTAATAATTCCAATATGATATTACAAAGTGTGTCTACTGTGCGACTTTCAGGCACATCTACATACCTCAAAAACGGTCATGAATATCGTCTCCATAATAACATCGGAGAATCGGACACAATTGTTCTCTATGATTAACATCGGGAGTTTCGTCAATAACAATTGAAACGCATTTTGACAATTTTACTTCGTACTCGATGCGAGTTTTCATTACATCAGCGACAGAATGAATAATGTCATTTTGGATTGTACTAGATAAATAACTTGGCCGTTTTTCGCTTTGTTGATGCTGCATAATATGCTTTTATAACACGAGATCTCAAAAATTGCCTCTATTCAATGAAGTTTTCGACTCATCGTGACCTCTGAAAGGAAGTTCTTGTTGTGCTAAATGGCAAACAATATAGATTAATCTTTGAAAAACACTACGGTTGTGATCAACACGCATGTTGTGTTTTGTAATTTCCTCGGATAACTGGCGCGACAAAGATGTTTCAATCCGATTTTTTTCCAAAACTACTAAACGAAATTACCGCATTCGTGTGTTTTTGAGAATTCATATGCCTTTTAATGGCTCCAGATAAGTTATTTAAATCGTCATATCCAGTAGCATTCCAAGCCGTTTTCTCGTTCGAAAGAATATGCAGCACCAACAGTACAACTTATTGGTATGTGAGCAGCCAACAATCCACTGAGTTTTGTAAACAGATCTATTAAATGCCGTTTGTGGGCTTTACTCGTCTGAGAAATACACAGATCAGGCGTTGGTTTCGGGGAGGATATGAGCCGTTTTTTCTCAACAAAGTTTAAAAATTTTACCTTTTCCTCGCCGATTAGCACTTTAACACACTTCATCACAAGGAACACTATTATCCTCCATTTTCACTAAAAATCTTATCGTAAATGAGAAAAACAACATTATTACGTTCAAAACATTATATTAAACGAACAAAGAACTCAAATATTTGACCCATTACAATAAATTACAAATGGGATGTTAAAAATCCATTATCAAACAATCAAATATTGTTATGAAATAAAATTTTAATTGAGAAGATATCACATTAAAATCTGACAACCAAACAATGTAGAAATAAAAAAGCAAGAAAAGATAATGTAAAGTCCGCACGTTCTATCTTGGCCTGGGTCACAGAATAAATAATAGTACTACGTACAGAAGTTTCACTCTTTTAATGTTGACTGCATGCCGACGTTTAATAGCCTACATAATTATTATTAATTATCTGCGCGAGAGTGTCCGTATTACTTTGCACATTTTCCTCTTCCTACGTTACGGTGGACTTTCCGTTTTTATGGAGGGATGTCAATAAAGAGTAACAAAATACATTGCGAAATATTAATTAGGTTACTTAGGTGAAATACCTGTTCTGACTATGATCGACAGACCATATTTTCGCACCTACGTGAGTTCTGCAATGCCTAACGCATGCAACTTGCAAGGTCATTCGTCGGGAATCGCGACGCTTGGCTAGGAAGGAAAAGGTAGATGCCTAGTGCAAACAACAAATAAACTTGAAATACGATTCCTAACAGAAATGTAATCGTATTCTACTTAGTTAAATTTTTTGTTGGTAAACAAAGTCTTGATTTCAGTGTTTTGTGTTATTTTAGCTTAAAATATTTTAAGCTAAAATAACGGCTTAAAATATTTTAATACAAAAGACAAGTATATGTACGTAAGTAGATACTTGGATAGTGAAGTAAATTTCTAGGTACTAAATTTTGTAATAAAGTTCGTAGATATTAAATAAATTATTACTTAATTCTTTTTTGCTACAAGTACCTATCTAACAATAAAAATTAAATAAATTCACGTTTCATAACTTCCCACTAAAATCCTTCGGTAATAAAGAATGATGATATATCTGAAATATTTTGTTGGTCATTTAGCGTCTATCCACGCAACAATTATAGTAGGAACGATGTTTTGCCATATTAAAATTTATTAAATAATGGGTAATATACATAATATATAGTTCTTAAATTACATTAAAACTTTTGAACTATTTTATCCTATAATTAAATATACTAAACACTAAACAAAAACTATTTCAACAATATTTACAAAAAGTTATATACGTAAACAGCGTTAAAAAACTTTAACATTCAATCGCCTCCAACGCGCTAGCCCTGACTGCGTTATTTCGCACGGGCGCGTCGCGATTTTAGGTAATTATTTCACGTAGGTAGCAAGAGTGATAGAGGCCTGCCTGGGTGTAGTTAGTCGCTAGTGGCTGCGCATATGTAGGTTTTAGGAACAGAATGGTAACAAGAGGAGAGGGAGAGTGGGCGAGATGCGCGGTTAAAATCACGTAGATAATTTATATATTATACAGATTATCGTTATTATAGATTATGCTTCCATTTTTATGGTCCATCTGTGTGTAAATGCAACACATCGTTTTAAATGCAGTGATTATAAAGATGTGCTTCAAAGATTTTGGAAGTATGCTAGTATCGTGTATTTACTATGTACTTTAGTACATAGTAAATACACGATACACAGTTTTACACAGTTTTAGAGCATACTGCGATAAACAGTTTTAACTGTTTATCGTAATTATTTATTAGATGCTATTGTTTTATTAAAAATCATGAAGATATTTTCATTAAAATAATAATTATCAATTTATTGTAAACTTATTGTAATCAATTCATTGTATAAACATTATTGACAAAACAAACTGTTTACCTAAGCGACCTTAGGAGCGAATATGAAGCTCTATCGACTAGCGCCAGTACATGCGCAAATGTCTCGGAAAGCCAACTTCAGCCCGGCCAATATAGAACGCGCGGACCGTACGTATTACAAATATAAAATCTGATTATTGTTTAAACCTTGGTCCCAGAAGTATGTCCGTTATTTCCAATGTTTGTGGATCTTTACGTACTTCGATAAAACCATGCTGCTTCAATTCTGAAAATAGATAACTATTGATAGTCTATTTTTATTATTAGGTATTTTATAATGTATTAATGGTTTAATCGGTACATACTGAGTACGGAAGAAAAACAGCGCGCTGCTATGATATTGCGTTTACCCGGTAGTGTGTGTTCCTTGATCAAGTTATTAATATTAAGCGGTCTTGTGCCCTTCTTTATACTTTCCAAGATTTTAATCATAGTTCCCTCGATTCCCCATTGGTCACTGTAAACAAAATACATTAAAAAAACCAGCAAAATCTCCGAGTAAAGTGCAGTGTGAACACTTTGGATATGACTATCTACTAATTTTGTTTCAGTTACATATCATACATATTGGAGACTATGGACACCTGCAGCCAACTTCATACAAAGAAGACAGGTTATGGGCCACACCACCCACTTACCATCAGGTGGACTATGTACTCATTTGTCACACTTATACTATAAAAATATAGAATTACTCACCGTATAAATCTGTTGGAATCTGTAGTCTGTTCAGAGTCGCCTAGTGAAACTTTAGTCCTGTCCAGGCTACCCAGAGGCGTTTCAGATGTCTCACTTCCGTTATTCCTCACAGATATTTTTAGGCTTGCTCCAGTGCGGGGTTTCACTTCGGTGGGTTTGTATGGTAGCATGTCTGTCAAGCCCGCTTCTTGAAGCATCGCCGTAACGCTCCTCTCAAGTTCAATGCTTGGAAGCTGTCTATTCTGTGGTATATTTTCTTTTTCAGCGTCTGTAAATTTAAAGAACAAGTATGCATTGATGGCCGGAGCACTTGACCATAGAATAAATAATAGAACCAACTTAACTAAGCAACTGCGAGGCGCTCACTCAACCCTAACAGGGGCCAACGTTTGTTAAAAAAGAAACCAGGTATATTACGCATTGTTGAGTTTGCTCTGTGGTATATATTGTTAACATACGTATTATTTTCAGAATGATTATATCACTGTATTTCTTTATTTACATTTTTGATTCGCTGTAGAAATCGATATTGTTTAAAACAGCGAAGTATCGATATAATTATCGATACCGTATTTATCTACGTCCAATTGTTTTTGAGATCTGTCAAAGATGATTTTATCATGATTTTATCTAGCATTCGTGTAGTAACCTACAACTTGTGAAAAAAAAATTCATGTTGATCTTTTAAATCTACGTTTATTTAATTAATCAAAAAGTGAATTTTACAATATTTTTCTCATTACAAATTTTAAGTACAAGTTTGTCAATATACAATCATTCATTACATCTCATCAGACATATTATCTCTATATTTGACGAGGAGAGCAAGCTCAATGCTACTGAACTGAAGACCCTTTTTACTGACGCAAATGCAAGCAGATGAAAACGCATCTATATTTTGGTTCTTAATCGAGAATTAGGAATATTACTTTGCGGAGTTGTAGTAGTAGTAGTAGTAGTAGTACTATGGCACTGATATTTTACTTTCTTTGCTTTTACATTAACATATTATGAAATTGAATTATCAATAAATAACACTAATTTGAAATAAACTTTCGGTAATAAAAAATAATCAAATAATACGCACCCAATTGGCAGTACCTATTGATAGATCAGTTTAATAATATTGTTACGAGCTTAAGGTTCGTGACAATAAAAACTGCCGATTGAATTACCAAAATTGAACACCAATTAAAACTTAAATCACACTAGCGATACAAAGCGAAGAAAGTTCGAGAGTTGACGTTTCTAGAAAGCTTAATTATTACATTCCTTACTAGACAACTTACCCTTACTCAACTGTGGCGCGTAACAATATGTTAATGAAACATTTTTTATAAAATATCAGTGCCATAGGCTTTTATTCCGTTCACCTGTCACCCTTTTTTTCCAGAAGGTAAATAATTCACCCAGCATAGTGCAAGACTGTGTGTGTGCACACACACAGTCTATCCTCTCTATCCTCGTTCTCATAGTTCAATGGGAATCGTGTTGGACTGACACGACTGGAGAGGGATGTGAATATAGTATCTACGTAAGAATTTCCTTACCGTGAGCAGGAATGGCTGCCTCTATGACTAGCTCCTGGTTGTGTCTATACGATACATGGCCCATAGTGCGACGTATTTTTGCCTGCAACACATACATACAAATATTATCGACAGATATAAGACTTCAGAATAACAGAAATCTAAAATAATTTTCTTAATATAATTCTTTTTATATAATCTATTTCTATAAATCTTAATACAATTTTGCCTACCAGTACTACTGATAGGTACTAGTTATAGGTCATCGTCATCATCATTATAGCCTGTTCAAGTGCACTGCCGAACATAGGCCCTCCCAATGGCTTGCCTCCATGGTTGGATTATTTGCCACTTGCAGTATTTGGCAGCATTTATCATTATTTTGAGTTGTTTTCAGGAAAATGCATTTCCTGTTTCAATGTCCCTCTGCCACCTCTTACGACACCCACGGAAGGGTAGGTGGGCTGTCGATTATAATTAAGGTATTTAGGTTTACGTTAAGAGCTATTCAAGCAAATTACCTATTAGTTCACTTAAAAACCTTAACACTCGGTAAACTAATTGGTAAATTAAACTTACACGGCGCGACGGCAGTGATGTATTCGCTACAACGGGTCTTTATGGATTTTTATGTGGTATTTTTTAATTAGTAATTTTCCGTGTGCTGGCGAGGTAAATAAATTCATCGCTAAATTTTATCCAGAGGGTGGCGGGTGGTTATTGGAAATGTCCGAAGTATTCCATCACCTCCGATAGACGGTGGTATAACTATCACGTATCGTGCAGTCGTAACATAACATGGCCTTGAGCAGAGTTAAATGTATCACATTCTGCGTCAGGTACTGCCACTGTCAATCTGCGTCACGATTCGCAAACCTTTTCTTCAATGGGAGAATTATTGTGCATTCCGCCGTTACAACCTATCAAAAGTCCACTGCTGTACGTAGGCCTCCTCCATAGACTGTCGCATCAAACAGACGTTTGTCAAAGTTGCCGCGCGTGGCACGCAAGTTGGCAACCACAGTTTTAGTTTAGCGCTTTAAGGAAGACCCTGCTGCCCATCTGGTTTCTACACGTTGACCGTGTAGTGGCGGTATGTTAACGAACAAGTATGTATTTGTATTTGTTCGAAACGTCAAAGGTGAATTATAATAGTTTTGTTATAGATTAAGGGTGACGAACGGGAGTACATTCCACCTGATGGTAATAGATGGGATGATGTGACGACATTCTATGTCTATCCTCGATTAGGAATCAAAATGCATATATGATGTCACCCCTAAGGGCGAAAGTGGAATACCTCGTTTCCAGCAAAAATAGTCCTAAGTCATCTGCAATCTCCATAACGAAACAGCAGCATTGAGTTGCTTTTTCACGATGGAATTCTGTGAGAGTGTGGTCCTTCCCCGGTCGAGCCGACCCATCCGCGCTACAACCATAACATAGCTGCAGCATAGCTCTACCACATTAAATGTTCTTGCCAGAGTCATATAATGCCGCGACAGTCATTACGAGAAAGATCTTTAACATTATGAGTTAACAAGTGAAACAGAGCACTGATTCCATAGTATTTATTATATAATTAAATTAAGAAAGAGCAAAAGAGGGAGAGCAACGATAGAAAGAAAGGGAGCGAGCGAGCGAGAGAGAGAAAGTGAGAACCAGAGGTGTATTTTAAACGCATTTGTTGCGCTAGTGGTTGCACGAATGACAGGAGCAAGTTATCCAAGATAATAATCTACCTAACCGCATTGCAATGGAAAAACCTTTCAATTCGAAACACCGATATCTCCTACGCCAGGTGTATTCAGTTGAAAACAGAGAAACTTCCTACTTACACGACTTTTTACACGGGGAAATACAAACACGCTTCCCACAACAAAATAAGGAACAGAAAAACCAAGAGGCCATGGGGCCAGGAAAAAACGAGCACACGGCAGCACCCGCTTTCCTAAGCCCAGCGGCGGATCCGATCGATGGCTCCACCGCTAAGCAAGTTTCGGCTGCGGAGCGCAGACAGAGCGGCGCCTCGCAACACCGCCACTCCCCTCCCTCGCAGCCCCGCCGGTAGCGGAGGATAGGGCGAGTAGCGCATCGCTATACCAATACTCCTCTCCCCTGCGACTCCACCTCGGCTGCAGCGGTGGAGGAGAGGACTGGCCAGCCTCTCAAGCCAGCCATGTAGGTTCCTCAAAGAATTGTCACCGTGGGTGACCAACCTACCGGCTTCGAAGCCCCCCGCCTCCACAAGACTGGAACCTGATATATCAAAGATATCTCTAGGGTGTAGTCTGTCTCTACAACCTGCGTTGCTAATTCGGCGAAGTCTAATTGTTGCGGTTGGTTTAATAACGCTGCACGACATACAAAAAAAAATGCTTTCATCTCTCAGAGATGCGGATGCAATTCCCGCACAGTATAAGTATTTGTAGAGTCAACAAATCATTCTGGGTCTGGGTATATGTGAAATTTATGTACGTAAAATGCTAAGGGTAACTTAATAAGTCTAAGAAATAAATATAAATAATATTACTCACAGGAACTTGAAACTCTCCGGCTAGTTTCGCGGCATGCTGTGACAGAGTCTCAACACGCTGCGTAGGTATTTCAGCGAAGCCCAATTGTTCAATATTAAGCTCTTTTGCAACATTTACTTCCATCTGCATGGGCACTTCAACTTGAGGTGGTTCATGAGGCTGTCGTACTTCCTCTCCTATCGTTTCTAGTTGGGAACGCGTGTGGGTCTGTCTTGTTCTCGGTTTGGTCACTGCTTCCTACGCAAATTATATGTTAAATGTAAGTTATGTTCAATACCTATTGTATTTAAGTGTGAAAACACTCTTAAAAAAACTGAAATGGGTCAGCTCGACTGGGGAAGGACCACGCTCTCACAGATAACCAGCGTAAAATAGTAGCTTAATGCTGCTGTTTCGTATGGTGAGTGAAGAGAACCGACCGACCCTTTTTACTGAAAACGAGGCATTTCATCTTGGTCCTCATGGGTGACAACGCATCTGCATTTTTATTCGTAATCGAGGGTAGATGTAGCTGTCTATGGGCCACAGCAACCACTTACCATCAGATGGACTGTGTGCTCGTTTGTCACCCTTATTCTATAAAAAGAAATTATATAGAACCTCCACTTTTATAAGATGAACAAAACAATCTTTATACTTTGAACAGCAATGCACGTTATTGTGATATTTTAACATTTTCGCAAGCTGCGAAAGCTCAGGGGCTAAGCGCTTGTTAATTGCAATTTCAAGTGATGATTTACTACGTGCTCAGAGGTGAATGACAACATCGTGACAATATTCGCGTGTCTAATCAAGGACCCCCACATTCATTCGAAATTTCATTTAAGGATTCCGATTCGGTATTACGAACGTAGAAAATCAAGGACCTATCTATCACACACGTTTAGTAGTTTTCCTATTCGAAATTCTGCACGATTGCTTGTGCGTCTGGTATCCCACACATAAAAAGCCGTTCCGAACGCAAGCCTTCCATAATTTTTGTATGATTCCATAGATTATATACGGAATCTCGAATCGATATTCCGAAACGGCTTTTCGAAACGGAATTCCAACTGTATGTGGCTGGCCTTACCCACAACCCTGTCAGAAATGAGCGACCTGTGCTCAGTAGTGGGGCGTACATTAGACTGTAACTTTACATTTAAAATACGGGTATTTTGTTTACAAGCAAGTTATGACACAAATTACCTCCATTTCTCTGTCAGCCATCGGCGTCCTATTTAAAACTCTCAGGTTGCGTAGGAAACGTTCGGAGAAAACTTGAGGCAAGTTAGACCGGATCTTTTGCCCTGCGTGTGCGGGACGACTCAAGTACGTATCAGCGTGTACTCGGATGTTCATCACGTCCTCCGAACTGTCCTATTTTTCCAAAATATAGTTTCTTTAATTAAAACAATAACAATACAAATTTTGAATTTCATATCCATTTCAGATTGTTACGACAAAATAATTCTTAAAACTATCTATTTTACTGCTTAATTGGACGTATTGTGAAGTTACGAAAAAAAAGAAAAATTGAAGGTAATATTAAATAAATACATTTAAGAACGTTTTGGTCGTCTATAATATCACGTAACACGTTCATAGTAGGATTATTCCTAAGCGGCCTTTGGATTAAAAAATATGAAACCTATACAATGATTATGATTTCTAAATAGAATAATTATTAGACAACGTTTATTCCCGACGCCATATTGAAACGAAAATTAAAATAATTTATTAGTTTTTATTAAGTATTACTTTATTAATAATATTATTATTTAGTTATAATAAATTATTAAGTACTTTTTAACTTTTTTATTCGATTTATGGAAAAGTAATATTTATGGAAAAGGTACGATTATTCTATTTTCATCATCATCATCATTACAGCCCTTCACAAGTCTACTGTTGAACATAGGCCTCCCCCAAGTAATGCCACAAAGCACGGTCCTGAGCCACCTGCATCCATCGACTTCCTGCAAGTCTTACCAGGTCGTCACTCCATCTAGTGGGGGGTCGCCCTACACTACGCCTACCGGTACGAGGCTGCCACTCGAGACCCTTTCTTCCCCATCGGTTATCGGTTCTTCGAGCTATATGGCCGGCCCATTGCCACTTCAGCTTACTAATCCGTTGGGCTATGTCGGTCACTCTGGTTTTACTGCGGATATCCTCATTTCTGAGTCACTCAGAGAAACTCCAAGCATAGCACTCTCCATAGCTCGCGGAGCGATCTTGAGCGTCCTTATACGGCCAGCATTGAAGGACCACGTCTCAGATCCGTAAGTCATCACTGGCAACACGCACTGGTTATACACTTTAGTTTTCAGAGATTGAGGTATACCTGACGAGAAGACGTGTCGTAATTTCCCGAACGCTGCCCAGCCGAGTTGAATCCGTCGATTGACCTCTCGGTCGAAGTTGGACTTACCTAGTCGGACTATTTGTCCCAGGTAAACGTACTTGTCAACAACTTCAAGCATAGTGCTCCCAACGACTACCGGCATAGGTGTGACATGGACATTAAACATGATCTTTGTTTTTTCCATGTTCATCTTAAGACCTATCCGTTGGGAGACACCATTGAGGTCATTGAGCATAGTGCTAAGGTCCTCTAGCGATTCTGCCATAAGGACTATATCGTCGGCAAATCGAAGGTGAGTGATGTACTCGCCATTGATGTTAATACCGTATCCTTTCCAGTCCAGTAGCTTGAAAACGTCTTCCAACGCAGCGGTGAAGAGTTTCGGGGATATAACATCACCCTGTCTTACACCTCTCTGCAGCTGGATAGGTTTCGAACTCCGGTTCTGTACTCGGATAGCCATCGTAGCCCTACTGTACAAACACTTCAGCACTTTGATATACCGACAGTCAACTTGGCACCGCTGAAGGGACTGTAGCACCGCCCAAATTTCGACGGAACGAAACGCTATTTTACACCCTACCTATATTTCATTGTGAACGGAAGTTAAATTTTATTTTTTCATATTTAATATTTTCCTATGATTGAGATAACAAATTATATCATGATGTTAAGTAATTTATACGAGCTATTCGAACGTTCTTATTGTTATTAAGTAAAATTCATAAGCGTAATTGTAAATGATTTACTTTTACAAAATTAGTGTGGACTTAACACTCCAAGGAATCGGTCGTTATCATTTTATTTATCATTTATTATCAGTATCATTTTACATTATCATGATATTAAGTAATTTATACGAGCTATTCGAACATTCTAATTGTTATTAAGTAAAATTCATAAGCGAAATTGTAAATGCTTTACTTTTATAAAATTAGTGTAGACTTAACACTCATAGGAATCGGTCGTTAACATTTTATTTATCAGTATCATCTTAAATTATCATTTTATACCTAGGCTGGACTAAAAGTATCGGGAATGGAATATTTCCACTGTTCCTGTTATATTAAAATCTTTTTAATTGAAAACTCCTTGGTTTTAATAATCGAATACCATTTATTTATTTAAAAAAAGATTCTCGTCCAGGTTTTGTCAAACTTGTTTAGTCGTTGAGAAAATGGAATTGACTCGAGAAATTTCAAGAGCGATGATTTATTATGACTTTCGAAGTGGTTTAACACAAAAACAGTGTATTGACCGGATGATTTCTGCATTTGGTGATGAAGTCCCATCCAAAACTACAATTTATCACTGGTTTGCTGAATTTCAACGTGGACGTGTCAAGCTCAGTGATGATCCGTCAAGGTTGTCCAAAAACTGCAGTCACCCAAGAAAACGTTGGTGCTGTACTACTATTATCTAGATGTTAGTGCTGTTAGTCTATGCGACTCTTACAGCTTCATCTGTCTCAGGGATTGGTGCTGTGCGTAAGCTGATTGAGGAAGATCGACATGTGACATACCGCGAAATTCAGGCAACTTTAGAAATTGGCATGAGTCAAATACAAATAATTTTGCATGAACAATTAGGTGTAAAAAAGTTGTTTTCGCAATGGATACCGCATTCGCTTTGTGAAGAGCAAAAAGCGGCTCGCGTTACTTGGTGGGTCAGAACTCTCGAAAGATTCCACGCAGGATCCTCAAATGCTGTATATGCGTACGAACCCGAAACAAAAAACCAGTCACGAATTTGGGTATTCGAAAATGAGTTAAAGCCAACAAAAATTGTTCGTTCACGGAGTGTTTAAAAAAAAATGGTGGCCACGTTTGTCTCCAAAACCGGCCATGTTACGACTATTCCTCTTGAGGGACAAAGGACGGTTAATGCAGAATGGTATGCTAGCATTTGTCTGCCACAGGTCGTTTCTGAACTCCGTAAAGAGAACTGCAACCGCCGCATCATCCTCCATCACGACAATGCGAGTTCTCACACCGCACACAGATCAAAAGAGTTTTTAGAGCAAGAAAACATAGAATTATTAGACCATCCGCCGTACAGCCCCGACCTAAGCCCTAATGATTTCTATACTTTCCCTAAAATAAAGAATAAATTGCGTGGACAGAGATTTGCATCACCTGAAGAAGCTGTGGACGCCTACAAAACGGCCATTTTGGAGACCCCAACTTCCGAATGGAATGGTTGCTTCAATGATTGGTTCCATCGTATGAAAAATGTGTCAAATTTCGCGGAGAATACTTCGAAAAGCAATAAATACATTTTTAAATAGTAATGTTGTGTCACTTCCTTGATTCCCGAAATTTTCAGTGCCGCCCTCGTACACTAAAAGCGTAGACAATTCCTACATTTTTTGGTTCTGTCTATATCGTTCGTTATGAGCTGGACATCCGTCGTGCTGCAGTTAGCTCAGACGAACGTTGTGTCGATGACAGAACGTATCACTTGCAGATACGTTACTCCTGTCAATCGAACTTCAGCCCATATTAGATCAATGATGTGGTCATTAACGATTGCCGCCCAAACGTTAACACAGAAACGAAGTTGATGAGCATGTTCTTTGATTTTGTGTGGGTTTTGGAAACTTCACCTGTGCTCATTGTGCACGTTGTAAATGCCAAAGCAGGTAAATATCAACTCGTCGTACCGTCTAAGTTTTTGTTGAAAATCCACTAAGTTGACAATACATAGAAGACATAGAATTTCACCATTGCTAGGTACTCGACATTAAATTGTTGATACATGTTTACGATACGAGAGCGACACTAAAAGTTTTTAGAACTGGCCACTTGTAAACGATATAATAAAAAATAAGTTCAAATTTTAAAAATTAAACTCTTTGCCAATAATTTAATGATATTTAAATTACATGCAATTGAGAAATAAGTAACACTTTTTTAAAATTGTAGTTTGTCTGTTTGTTCTAACTAATCTACGCAATCTGAATCTATTGCAATAAAACATCCGGAACAAATTGAAAATAAAAATGGAAAAAATTTAGAGATTTTATTAAAATAGAAATACAGTAAACCCTCGTTAACAACCAAAAAATAGTTCGTGTTACAGAGGAGTTCGTGTAATCCGAACAATGCAAAAAATGAATTCGTGTTTCTAAACTCAATAATTAAACTTATTATTATTCATCATAGAAACATTTTTATTAATAACTCTGATATTATTATTTTATATTTACAATAATTTTTATTATAAATTTTTTAACTTAACCAGATCATCGGTCGACATGCGTCGAACAGTGGAGTGCGCGGGAAATTTGAAATAGCTTGAAACATTTTAAGAGATATTTTATTAGTTGATATTATTGACTGATTCAGGTTTAATAAGGCAAGCCCGGCTTTTCGGCTTTAATGGAAGCTTCGCCACTGATATATATACTATACAGCGGACATTGGGAACATTTGCATACAAAAACTGTGAGAACGCGCGTGTGTTGAGCCCTCTAGCGGAAAATAGTAATACTACGCTGAATATTTATTTGCAAAACATTTTAGCTATTTCCCATTAGGTGACGCTTCTAAATATAAGGTAAAATCGGTTTTAGGCACGTCGTCAATTACTAACATATTTGTAAATAAATAGTGACGTTACTGGATAACAGAGGGCACTTATTACAATAATTTTTCTTTCTTCTAGAATAATCTACCAGAAAGAATAAAATTTAAAGATTATTTGGTAAATATACGTACCTTATACATACCTACGTATACCTTAATACAACCGGGCATATTTTCTTTAAAAATATTTTTAAATTTATGAAACGAATGCGTCTTGACCTTTCGGTGATGTCACTTAGACTAAATGACAAAAATTGGAGATATATCCTATAGGACAAAAGTTACAGACGACAATTTTGTTGCTGATGTCCGGTCTATTACTACTACATACCTAAATGTCTTTGACCAACTCTAAACAATCGATATCGCTTTTTTTAAGAATCGAATATTGTACGTTCCCATTTTCTGGTTGGCATGCTGGGTACAATAAGTCTGACAGCTTTCAAAATGTATTTCTTAGATTTGGTTGACTACAGGTAGGTGCCGCAATATAAATATACATAATGTAATCAATATATGCGATATATAGAAAATACATGCAATAAATATAATTTGTAATAATAACGTAACTAATACATAATAAAAGCATTAAAATATATTTTATTGAAGTACTCCGTTGTGTTTTCGCACAGTAATCGTTCGGAAACATTGCAAGAGATAAGGAGCAAAGTACTTGGCATCGTAACTCCACGGCCACATTGTCAATCCTGGCGCGCAAGTACTCTGTGCTCAGCTTGGTCTTCTTGTCAATGATGAGTTTTTGTTGACGTCGCCGTTTCGCTTGCGGCTCCACATCTTCCAGCTCCTATATAATCAACACACATTGTACATATTTTTAAAATTAATTGAACGTTTTTTTTTAAAGTTGAAGTGATAATCGAACTTATCTACACCTGATGTTAAGTGGTCACTGCAGACAAAGGACACCTGTGATAACGCATCAGTAGTCTCTTTGTTTGATGATATTACTGTAACGTGTAAGGAATATTTTAACGAGGAGACGCATTGCTGATACTATAACTATAAAAAGATTAATTCCAAAGAATACTAAAGTTTTAATTATCTACTTTAATAACCAGCCATCCATAGTCTCCTCAAAGGATTAGAAAAGTTTATCGAAACAACAATATTGAAGAATTTAAAAAAAATTATAATCTTTAAATGAGGTCTAGGATTCGAACCAAAAAGCATCGATTCAACAGATGATTACATATCACTACCGTAGTGACACTGTTGTTTTCAATTTCTACTCGCAAAGTTTCTTATTACCTCCAAAACAATTTCTTTATCCGGCGTATCTATGGTAGCCTCAGTTGGAACGTCTTTAGGAGGCTTGCGAATGTCCGAAATATCCATGCCTTGCTGTTCCACAGTTTGCCTGTGGTAGAACAAATACATTTTAAAGAGGGCAATTGCATCTAATATGAAAATAAAAAACTTACCATATTTTAGATAATACAAAAAATAAAAATTAATAAAAATTAAATAAATAAAAAAATTGTTACCAGAATGATTACAAGTAATTAATTATTTTGATAAAACACTAACGCCATCGGATGAGGAGTTTTCAGGTCAGGAGGCGGGATTTCAGGGATTTCAGGGATTTCTGTGAGCATTATTTTTATTGTTATATCAAGAAATAAAAAAAAATGTTTTCATGATCACATTCACATCGTAAGTTTCATACCTTTTTCAAAATCGCCAACTGGAACGAGGTCGGTTCCAACGGCTGTGAAATAAAAAGATTTTAACAGTGTAATGAACACAATTATTTCCTTAAATGCTAATACCCATAGTTGCAGGAGGACATTGCGGTTTTTTTTAAACGTTTGGATTTCAAAAATAGTTTTATATTGAACGCGATATATATATATATATATATATATATATATATATATATATATATATATATATATATATATATATATATATATGAATATATATATATATACATAATTACTTAGTTTCATTTAAATTCATTTAAAATATAAATTACTGGGATTTAGAGCTGTTTTTCCTCCCTTCTCTTCTTGACTTCTCATGTCCTTGAATATATTTTACTTTTCCACCTACTTCTACCCTCAATAGAGAATCAAAAATCTGGAATGCCACGTTGCCAGTAAAATAAGTATTCTGTACTAATATTCCTTTTAACCACTCCTGGTAAGCTTGAAACGCTTGTGTTAGGAGTGGTTCACGATAGTAGGCAAATGGCGGATTCGAACCCACGACTTTTTGAGTTCGCGATCCGCGCCATGCCCTTAGGCTACTGTCGCTTATAAATTTTGCATATGTGGTAATTTCCTATAATATTACATATAATACAATACTACCTATAATATTATAGTAAATTAGCACATATGCAAAACAAATGAAAATTTAAAAAATGTTGCATATCAGTACAGTTCATTTGAACATAGTGAGTGTTCGCGATGCGAAATCTAGTGCGTAGTACATAATGACCGTGTCCCGTCCGGGGCCAGGCCCGGTCTCGACACGGTGTAACGTGAATCATCCTTTATACAGCTGTAGCTCCACCTCGTAAAAAAGTAAAGGTAGCAAATAAAATGTTTTGGTTTCACAACGGAGCACTGTGTATATATTTCTAGTGACGCAAAATCCAAGCCAAACTCATGCTCAACTCATTGTAAAAACACGCATTCGCGTACAACTTTGCATGTAAAATAATTTGCAACTATTAACATTGTTTTAGATTCTTGTGTGTGTCCATCATTGACATTTGACGGACTGGTGAAGAAAAAAGGAAGAAACATACGTGCGTATGTGCGTGTTGAGCAGTTGAGCACGGTTTTTACGTCACTAAAACTGTACGCAGCTCTCCGTCCACCTTAATTTTTTGGTCGGAGGTAATTACTAACATTTGCGAAACATGGTGATATCATGCTCCGATATAGTTTCCATCTGCGCGTCGTGAGTGGTTAGCTTGGACTTGTCGTGCGACTTGTCGGTTGAGAAGTCTGCGGGAAGGTCAAGCACGCTGTGCTGTATAGCAGATAGGTCGCCTAGCATCATCAGCTCCATCGTACGATCAGCGATCTGTTGATCGATGTGAAGCTCGCCGAAACCATCCTAAGTTTAAAAATGCATAAGTTACTTTATGTGTTGGTTTATCACATACTCCGTAATGAAGAAAAACATAGTGGCGTGCATATCTAAGAAAAAAATTCGATGATATTTTTTTAAATTCCATTTTAAACAAATGTTTACATAGAGGAACAAATATGATTACAAAAATAATTAATAAAAAAATGAAACTATGTGTCCCTACTAGTTTCATAATGTAGAATCTACAAGAGAAATTGAAAACTCAAGTTTATAATATTAGCTACCTGTCTGAACTAGGTTGAGTATCTGTGTTTCAGACCATCACTTTCACAATGGGTTTTATAATACAGGACACAAGATAATTTCAAATAATTAAACTATATTATATAATAAATAAAATAACTAAATAACAATTATTTGTAACCTTCAATTAATACAAAACTATTTTAGAATTTCTAACAACTTCTCTGTGTCTTCGTCATTTAATATATTCAGAAATTCCCTTACAATTATTATTAAATTTATTTTTATTAAACTTCTATTATTATTAAATTTACACGATATATCTTTAGTGACTTGTTAAGCTCGTTATGTAGAAATGGTCCTAAGAATATGTAAAATCTGTTCACAAATGCATGTCTGGTTTGAGGGTTTACACAAACTAAGCCCATTCTTCTCCTGTCTATGGTTTTTTTATAGGATAGGGTGACAAACGAGTAGAGTCCACCTGATGGTAAGTGGTTGCTGTGGCCCATAGACATCTACATCTATCCTCGATTACGAATCAAAATGCAGATGCGTTGTCACCCGTGAGGACTAAGATGGAATGCCTCGTTTCCAGTAAAAAGGGTCTCCGGTTCTCTATAATCACTATACGAAACACAGCAGCATTAAGCTACTATTTTACGTCGGTATTCTGTGAGAGCGTCGTCCTTCCCCGGTCGAGCCTAACATTCGTGCTACAACTATACTACTAATATAACTACTGCATAAATTAAATGGAAATTCGGTATGCTGTTTTAATATGATGTTCAGAATAAACAACTGACGGACAGTTAGTACACTACATGCCAAGTAGAGTTGTGTAGGAAACATCGAGGGACGGAAAGTGGCTACCTTTAGAACTACTCTCTGAGCACGTTCTAGTGGGAGCATTATTGCCACACCACCCCAGGAAGTAATGCCATAAGTGAGTATGGATTGACACCAAGCAATTTAAAGTCGGCGATGTTACGGAGATATTTAAAATAATATATTAATTTACGAACTCTAACACAAAGTAAATCGATGTGCTTGCGGAAATTTAAATTTGTGTCAAGGGTATCACCCTTTCGATAATATTTTATTTTATATAAATTTACATAAGTAATTATATTTTGTACTCATTTCAATATTTTTCATGTGGTTGGGTTTGAAAGTAAGTCGCCTGAATTTGAGGATTCTGTCACTATGGAGAGTTCAAGGTGGTCTATCTGAAGCACCCCATGCGATTTTTGCTGCGGGAGCAGTGTCGATGTAGTTTTAATTATTTTTTGAAAATATTGGTAAATCACTAACTAAATGTGAAATAGAATGTACATTTTACTAAATTCTAACGCTTTTGATGTTGCATCTGTCAAAGTCATCTCAAAATGCGTAAAATGAATCGCTATGCCGACGATTTTTTTGACAGTGACAGATAGACTACATCATTCCATTCGTGCTACAACTATACTACTAATATAACTGCAGCATGGCTCTACTACATATAAAATGTCTTGAAATTAGAAGTATTCCTTTCTTTATCCTGGGAGTATATGGGAAAATCATCATATATGAAATGAACCAGCATGAAATACTGTCCCGCTCTGTTGAGCACGCCAAGCTTTTTAGAGGCCAATTTGGCCTTCTCTTCCAAGTGACCACGAAACTGCACATCACTCGATATGTCGACGCCGAGGATTCCGATACTGGCTGAGGCAACAAGGGTAGTGCCTTGAAAATGAGGAGATACGACAAAGGAGTTCTTTTTAGCGGTTAACGCGCAAACTTGTGTCTTTTGGGGGTTAAACTGGACTAGATTTATTAGTTAGTTTAGTAGAATTTAAATTTGTGTCAAGGGTGATACCTAGATATTTCATATTGTCTGTTTTTGTAAATGCGGGGCATGCACATGCAGTGTCATCATACGAGTCACAGTTACGAGCGTAAATATTTAGGTGAGTAGGTATGTTATTGTTTCTCATTAAAAATAACATATATTGTGTTTTATCTGCGTTTAAATTTAGGGGATTGTTAAGTAGCCAATTAGATACTATATTAAAGCCTTGTTGAGCGTATTTATAAACCTTATCACCGTGATTTAGATGAGAACAACAGGGCGGTGTCATCTGAATATGACATTATGACACCATTTTGAAGTTGGAGATTGCAGTCATTTATATAAATTTGGAACAATGTAGGTCCTAGTATACTGCCCTGTGGGATGCCATAAGAGCTGTTGTTTGTAATTCAGTGCTTGTATACTTACCGATTTTAACACATTGAGAGCTATCACTAAGGTAATCGGTAAAAAGTTGTAGTTGAGTTCCCCTTATGCCAAGTGTTTCAAGCTATTGCAATCATTGACTTATAGCGTAAGGACCGGGCCGACCGAACAACTGAAACGGACCAGTGCGCTGGCCTTAAAATTACAGTTTAGGGCCAACGCGAATCGGTCGACAGTAGCCTTGCCTGTCATAAATATGTCTAGTTGCGTGATAAAAGGATGCAAAAATTACGATACAAAGATGAAAAAGGAACATGGAAAAAGGATATCGTATCATCGGTTAATAACTTTATATTAATTTTGTAATATTTGTCAGGGTTGAATTCAGACCCTCAAAAATATTGTACATGAAAAATAAATTTATACTATTTTTTAAAAATTATATCACTTTTTAGGTTTCATGTTTCTTTTTTCCCATGTGCCGGGATTTTGGCGTCACGCGTCTAGTTTATCTATACGTTTCGTTTTTTGATAATTTTATTTTTATTTCTGTTTTATTTTTGTTTAAAGAAATAAGTGTAAGTTAAATTTTGAATATTAGTACCTAATATATTTTATATTCAATAAGAGTAAAAAGAGTACAAAAGAAACCATATCTGCTTAATTGAATCTGAAAATCCGATTAATAAAATATTTTGTTAATTTATTTTCAAACTTGATTGCTTCTGGAGCATAGAGTTTTTATCGTGGTAGTAGTCTTAAAGTTGTATCAAGAATGCAAAATAAACACATCGATCGAGCACCAGTTGACCAGAAAGGGAGTTAATTCTAATTTTATTAAAAAAACGCGGTACTCATGTACAATACAGAAATTCTCAATATCCTAGGGTTAATTTTAAAAAGTAAAAGGACCCTAATATAGATAATTTCCCAATAATTTTCGCTTAGTATTATTACGATATTATATATTACAAAATTATGAAATAATGGTACAATTAGGATAATTATACTACGAAATTCGACCCTGGTTACGTCGTGTTATGATATGACGTTTGTATTATGACAGATGCGCTACTTTTTCTTGTATGAAAAAGTTATGAGTAAAATATTTAGATGGGCCTATCCTTCCTTTTAAAACTCATTGATTGCAATAGTATAGGGCAAGAGATAGTATCAAATGCTTTGGCAAGGTCTAAAAAGATCCCAACTGAGTGCATACCATTGTCAAGATTACTTGTTATATAATCTGTCAATTGATGCAAAAAAAAGAAAACATGATCTCTTAGGCCTAAAACCAAAATGTCTGTCTGACAACAAATTGTTAGTTTCCAGGTATTTTATTAACCTGTTATTTATGATTTTTTTAAATATTTTAGATAAACCAGATAAAACTGAAATCGGCCTATAGTTACTAAGTTTTTATGGCCAGCGTTGTAAATAGGAGAAACCACAGCTTTTTAAGCACTTTCGGGAAAAACCTTTAGATAGGCATAATTGAAAGATATGTGTTAGCGGGGCAGCCAGTAAATGTTTAAATCTTTAGAGTATACTATTAGGTATATTGTCCCATCCAACTGCACAATCTTCTTTTGAGCCAGCCAGAGCCATACTTAAAATCTCATCAATGTCGATATTTAACAATATAAAAGAATTTGATTTAGAAAAGTATATGGTCATAAAAATTGGATTTCGAGTGTTGCTTAATTTTAAATTTTTTTCTGCTATTTTTTGCCAACATTAATAAAAAAATTACTTATTTTATTAGTAGCTTCATTTGGGCTTTCGTCTAGTGCCAGTAGTTCAAGTGGGGTAAGGGTTTTTGAACTGAAGGTACTATTTTTAATGATCTTTCATACAAGTTTACTGTTTTTACCGACCTTTTGTAAAATACTTTTATCATATTGTATTTTCAGTTTTTTAATAGTTTATTGCAAAATTTTCTATATCGTTTATAAGTTGCAGAAAGTATTAAATTATCCGGAGAAAGTTTTGATTGTAAATGTAGTTTGTCTCTATTTTTTGTACAGCGGACGAGACCAGGTGTTATTCAAGGTTTAATATTTACACTATTACTACGTGATAGTTTTATTGTTGATGTATTATTCTTAATTGCGTATTGTAAAGAATTTATAAAGTAATTCAAGGACGTATTTCCATCGTCAGAGCGATAAACAAAGTCAAAATTAATGTCACGAGTGTCATTTTTAAAGTTCGTCATATGGACTTTAGTGTAACTGCGTATGCAGTTTTATCTAGGTAAAGTTAATTGTAATGTTAGTAAAATTGCTTGATGATCAGTAAAAAATGGTCTAAACACGAGCCGCTTTGATGTGTATGGTGGTAATGTTTTTTTTTTTATAGAAGAGGGGGGCAAACGAGCATGCGGTTCACCTGATGTTAAGTGACTACCGCCGCCCATAATCAACCGTAACACCAGGGGAATTGCAGATGCGTTGTCGGCCCTTTAGAAAGGAGTAAGCTCTTTTCTTGAAGGTCCCCAGGTCGTATCGGTCCAAAAAAATCGCCGGTGGGAAACTATTCCACAGAGAGGTTGTACGCAGAAGAAAACTCCTCTTGAAACGTACAGTGGTGGACCGCCAAGCATCAAGATGGTCTGGGTGGTATCGGGACGTTTGCCGCGTAGTGCGTTCACGAAATTTGGCGGCTGGGATTAGTCCGAACAATTCCTCAGAGCACTCTCCACGGTATATGCGAAAGAAAATGCAAAGAGATGCAACATCTCTTCGCAGTGCCAGTGAATCGAGCCGATCGGAAAGCACTCGGTCGTCGACGATTCGAGCCGCTCTGCGCTGGATGCGGTCAAGTGGAAGGAGCTGGTACTGGGGAGCCCCAGCCCAGAGATGGGAACAGTATTCCATGTGCGGCCGAACCTGCGCCTTGTAAAGTTGCAGGCCTGTGCCAGCATGAAATACTGTCCCGCTCTGCTGAGCACGCCAAGCTTTTTAGAGGCCAATTTTTCCTTCTCTTCCAAGTGACCACGAAACTGCACGTCACTCGATATGTCGACGCCGAGGATTCCGATACAGGCTGAGGCAACAAGGGGATTGAAACTGAGGAGATACGACAAAGGGGTTCTTTTTAGCGGTTAACGCGCAAACTTGTGTCTTCTGGGGGTTAAACTGGACTAGATTTAGTCGCCCCCAATCCGAGACTCTGTTCAGCAAAGACTCGACTTCAGACACAAGTTTGTCCCGGCACTCGGAGACGTTTTCCCGAGAAATATTGGCTCGGCCGGTGTAAAGAGCATCACCAGTGCTGTCATCTGCATAGCAATGAATGTTACGGGTTTGCAACATATTATTGACATGCAGAAGAAATGTGTTGGTAATAGTACATGAAAAGAGCAGATATTTAGGTAGTTATGTGCGTGGTTATCTGTTTTTCCAGGAGTAATGTTAATATTTATGTCATCAGTTAGGATGATATTTTTATACGTGCTAAGTGTGTTTAAGGTAATATCAAGGGACTCTAGAAATATATCAATATTTTGAGAAGGAGGTCTGTAAATTGCAATAACAATCGTCTCGGAATTAATTCGAATGATTAAGCAATTACTATCCTGGAATGTAGGCTCTGTGACAGTAACTTTTAAATTATTTTTACCATAGATTAGTAAACCGTCATTTTGGTTAATGTTTTTCTCAGTTTTGTGTAAAGAATAGCCATCTAGGAGCGGTAGGTGGGGCGGGAGGTGTGACAGCCAACATTCTGTAAGGACAATAATATCACAATATTTTATATCCAGTCTATGCAACAAAACTTCAAACCCGGCTATGTTCCGATTTATAATAATAATAATATTAATTTATTGAATCCAAAGATAGTTTAGATAATATTAAAATACTTTATTTAAAATATTTTATTTTTAATAAAAAGTACAACCATACTTTTTTAAATAAATTAATACAATCAGATGTAATTATAGTTATATGTATTAAGCATGTGATTAATGTAAAATAAAATAAAAAATAATTACCTAATCCTCGTAAAAATTTAACTGTGTGTATTACGGTGTGTACGATCACTGCCACTCTTAGACCCTTTGAGTATTAAACCAATTTTGGTTGTTTGAATACTCAAAGCTTAGACCATACACTTAGCTGCCACCACTAAGAAGTATAGTCCACTGATACGATATTTTCTATTTGCGCCCGAAGCAAATATGGGCAACCCTCCGGAAAGCAGGGGAGGGAGGCGGTGAATGCTCATAGCATACCATGCAGCCGGCTGCGTGGTTATTTGGAGACTTTTACCCACTAAACACCGCCTTTTAGGAATTGGCTTAACGATCTGACTAGAGATCTCTAAGCCGTATACGAACGCGACCCTCCTTGGCAGAAAGGAGGGCGCAGATACGATATTATAAAATCTATTCAAATATCGTCTTTCGTCTTATTTTATTATCGTCGTCTTTCCTTGTGTAGTGTGCAAGGTCCTCTATACACTAAGTAAGACACACCCACAGAAATAGTAATAATGTTTTATTATTCCCGCGAATCTTAGTGACTTTGATATTTGTAAATGATATTTTCTAACAAACAGAGAAGCTAATAAAATGTACAATATTATTTTTAAATGACGTGATGATAATTTAGAAATTGCTTAAAACTAAACTTAAACTAAACCTAAAATTATAATTTAAAAAATCATAACTTACGTTTACTAACAGATTTTCAGGCATAATCGGTTCCTTAAGTGTTATTTCGTCTATGTTAGCAACCGTATTATTGCTTTTCTGAAAATAAAATTTGGTAAGTAAATATAAAAAATAATAATTAATTTAAAAAGCTGCTACACCATGTATAAAGAATGTCAAGACATATTTACACATTATGTTAACTAAGTTCAGGAAAAAAATGGCAACGCACAGGCACTGTTACACTACACACAACCTCCCCACAACTCAAAAAGACCTACAAACTTGTAATTTTGCTCCCTTGAATAGCTGAAGTTTTAATGGATAATCCCACACGCACAATTCTTAAGATATTGAGGTCCGAAAACCGCTACTTTTACCACTTCATCAACAAATCCTTAGTTGCCTAGACTATTATTTATTCTGTGCCTAGATCTAATTACTAGACATAGACCTATTATCTTATAATATATAAAAATTAATGTTTATTTGTTCGTATTTAATGCGCTGCCGTATTTTAAAATTTTGTCAATTTATTGCTTGCATTTGCGCGAACGTATAAGTACTGTTAACTTACGGCAGGTGGCGCGCGTATCGTACAGACAAACTTGGCTGGCTATCCCCTGGTGTTTCTGTACGCAATACATGAGTTATACTGTGTATTCCTCGCGGAGACTATATACCTAATTGTTTGGTTATTCATGAAAAATATTTTTTTTGCCTAAATATTAATAAGTTCAAAGAATTTTAATATATACTTTACATCACATAAAGTACATAGATGTATGTATATATATAGATGTAACACTAATGTATCTCCCATGCAGTTAGTGAAGTCAAATAAATTATTATTATTAAAATTGTAAAAAGTTACAGCCTATAAACGTCCCACTGCTGCGCACAGGCCTCCCTCCCCTCATTTCTGAGAGGGTTTTAGGGCAAGGAAGTGTCCGCCGCGCTGCCCCAATGCGTGTTGGTAAACGTCACATGAATTTTTTTTTCTTATTCCTCAGACATGCAGGTTTCCTCACGATCTTTTCCTTCACCGCCGAGCACGTGGTAAATCAGCATTTAAAATTGCAATTGACAATTTCATTGGTGTCGGCGGAGATCGAACGGGTTACTCGCGTTCTGTTATATACAGTGAGCGTTAACCATCTGAGCTACCACGGCTATTAAAGTTGTACTTAGGTCTAATGTTAGAACTTCGATCAATAGCTATGGATCGAAGTGTTAGAATCACTTTATAACACATACTTTACAATAATATGTCATTTGGAATAAATGGTTACATAAATGTTCTGTTAAGATTATGTAATCGTTTATTCGATGAGCCAAAAATATTTTAATGTGAATCGAATATCCGAGTATGAGCGCTATGCAACAGGCCGGTAAAATAAAGTTCATTTGGCCGGAGATACTCATGCTGAGTTGTTACCCGTGCGAAGCGGGAGCGGACATATTTACATATTATATTTGGAAGGCACGTATAACGGACTCCTCGCTTTTTCACTCTCGCTGCAATAATATGAGAAACATCTCAGCAGGGGTAATTTTATAGCCTATAATTTTATCACAATTTCGTAAAAAGCAAGTGCACTATCATTCGCCGCCTCGGTGTGGCATCGTGTGCTTTTGTATTATTTCTATAAATTCATACTTTACTTTACACGTGATAAACACTCCATGCTGCAGCTATTTTATGGTTATATCCACGAATGGGATGGCTCGACCGCAAAAGGACCACACCCTCACAGATATTGGCCACAGTACTCGCACCCACTTACCATCAAATGCACTGTGTGCTTGTTTGTTACCCTTAAACCATTAAACCTTAAACCATTAAACCAATCACTAGTCTGTGAGACTTGAGTTCGCCATTTTTAGATGAATTTTCAGTCATCAGTCGGTACCTTAAGCTTTTGGAGAAAGGATTCACATAATAACCAACCAATAAATAATCAAGTAGTTATGAAAAGTAACGCATATTAACCACACCTGTATTAATACTTCAACTCTTTGTTCATCTTCTGGCTCTTGTATTATTATTTGAAGTCTCGGACGCTGAACATTCTCCATTTGTGCGGGTGACTCGTGTATTATCCATCTATAGTACAAAACTAAGTTGCTTATCTGCATCTGTCTATTTTATATATTGTCTATTCGAATTTGAAAAGAAGAAGAATTTCTTTTCATTTATGTATATACAATAAAGCCAATAAATAAAGTAAACATGGCCTATGTTCACTGCATAGATTATCCGATATAGTGGATATTTGCCGAACTTGACATGCTTGGCAAGCAGCATAATTTAATTTTTAAATAGACAAGAAAACCAAAAAGAATTAGTCACAATAGATGGACTTTGAGAAGCTTGAGGGAAGAAATGACCATGAAACAATTAAAAGTTGTATATTAAGCTCTAATATAATCTCGCCTAAGATACAGTATTAAGTTTTGGGGAAATAGTTATACCTACAACGTTAAAAATGAGTTTATTCTACATAACCTGAGGCAATCATGTGGAGAGCATTTTATAAATTTGAAAATCCTCACTGTGCCCTGTTTGTATATTCTAACTTTACGCACTGATCTTGTCAAATATCTGAATAGATATGAAACTGATAATGAAATATACCCAATTTCTTTAAAACAAAATTACAGATTGTTGAGCATATTGTTAGAAATCAAGCTGTAAATTTTTTTAATAGACTACCTATAATGCCCTAAAAACCATAAATAATGTCAATCTATTATTTAAACAAGAGTTCAAATTCTTTTTATTGGAAAATTTTTCTATACAGTGAATGTTTATATTGAGTTTGGTAAAGAGTAATATGGCATGCATTATTTAATTAATAGTAAATTTTCTAGAGATTAGTTTAATTAAGTTTTCCCACACAATGTATATTGGTTTTGGAATAAATGACTAATGAATTTTAATGGATGTTGTGTTTACTATTTTGATGAATTTGGATTTAATGTAGCCAAACCTACATGTTTACCCCTAAACCCTTAAGTCAAGTATCAAATATTTGTTACTTACAAAGAGTTATTATTCTGTAGAAGATTTTTAAATTAACAAGAACAAGACAATTAATTTTATGTACCATTTATAGATGACATTATGTAGGTAATGATTGACAAATGAATATTAAGATTTGACATTGAGCTATAATAATAATCTTAAAATAGCATTTTCTCCGACATTGTTAAATAATTAATTAATTTTCAAATCAATTAAATAGTATTAAATAACTACTATATTTATTTTTAAAAACTGGACCATTATTAAGATTTGCACACCACTAATAAGGTGTACCTATCATATAGAATTAATTACACCATTGTACAACCATATTCTTGCAAATAAAGATATTAATAATTATTACTACAATTAGAAATAGTAATGAATAATTTAATTACTAAAATCTAAATCGAAACTTACTTTTTATTTGTGTTTTTTATAACACTTGCATTGACCATGCATAGATCCCCTGTAAAATAGAAGTTCATTAAATTAACTAATGACACAATTGCAATATTAAAGATATTTTAAATAAGTATTCACTAACCTAGTAGAACACTAACTTTTCTTTGATAAAGTCTCACCAGTCCTCTAAGCAACTGGGAACTTAAACGCAGAGAAAATCTATTTGCCGGACGACCGGACTCATTTGTCATAACTTCCAGTAAATCATCACTGAAAACGTAATCATCATTTTAGTTATCAGTTTTATTTTTATTAATCGTAAGTAGATAAGTGTTAAAAATATAAAAAATTACTTACCATATTTGTCGAATATCCTGAGACCACAACTGCCTGTGAGTAATATTCGCAAATTGCTGAGGCCACGAATCTGCTACCCAACATAAATAAAACCTCCCTCCCCGTTTTAAAGAATTAACAGGATAAAACATTGTGAAAATTTTAAAACCTGGCCTTAAAAAGTCTTTCTAACTTTCCCGCTAAGCACCGCTGAGAGAAATAATACCTACGTTTCCCGCCAAACGCCAAACCCAAAGAAAAAGAATGAACTTTTTTATTTACATTCATTAAGTATAGCCAAAGGCCTTAAGATCTTACAGCCAGTCGAATGTGAAAGTACCGGGAGAGGAGTATAAACAAAGTTATTGTATAAGTGCGCTAGAACTTCTTGTTAGTTTGTGATATTAGTACTCTTAGTACCCGGATGACCTAGCTTTGCTCGGTTTTTTTAAGTTAAATTTATATACAAATTACATAAATAATAGTTTTTGATCTTATTGACATAATAGAAAAAACTGAACTGGTTATTTGAATAAAAAATCATGAGTGCAATTAGATTAATTAAAATTTTCGTATTTTTAAAAAATACTAAAAAAAAAGGGCTCGAAATAATAGATTTTCTCACAAAAGAAGGGAACTTGAAAAAAAAATGGAAAAAAGTCTGACTCAAGACGGGACGCGAACCACGGAACACCGATATCACGCCCGAACAACATCCCATCTGAGCTATTACGATCGTTAGTAAGCTGTCAAAATTTAAATTTTAGCTTAATTTACTAAAAATTAAAACATCGGTGATGCCACATGTCAAACATAGAAACATCAATGTCAGTGAATCCATAATCGAATAACAGGAACTTGTGAACAATGCGAACCCGCAAGATCAGTATAAACTAAATCTTGCATCTCCTTTTAAAGGTTTAAAATTTTGAATAATTCCGCCGTAGAAAATAGTGTCCCGAAAACCACCATAAGTGAGGCGCTGCGATCACTAGGTTCGGTCAATAAAAGTCATTTTCAGTCTATTTTTCCGATCAGATAAGTCATTACAACGCACATCACTAGACTACACTAGACGTAGTCACAGAATAAATTCACAATTCCAACAGCCTCGATACTTTGCCCATTAGCCCCTGTGACGGTGTGGGAAGTTTTAAAATATTCAAAATGTTCGAAAAAATCCTGGTAGCGCTATTATCCACATACCAATTTGTCGTATCTACTAAATTGTCCATCAATAAAACCGTTTGGTTAGTTTGATTTATATTCCCGCTTAATTGTTTAGGTGGCCTTCCTTCACAGATCCACTTCTTGCATTTCCTTACTCTATGTCCTTGTTCCCCACAGTAATCACATTTGAAAAATTTCTTCCAATTCTTATCTTTTCCGCTAATTTTTCTTTCTGGTTTTGCGTATAGTGCCTCAGCACAATTCTCAACATCTGCTCTGACAGACAAAGCTTTCTCATGGGCACATAGCTGGCAAGTTAAATTTTCAATTGTTCTATCCTTTTTTGCCATTAAGAGCCAACTGCTTTTGAATCCAAAATATTGAACTGGCAATGTGTCAAGAATTTTACAAATCAGTAAAATATCAGGAAGATTTTCTGCTGACTATAAATTTTTATTTAATTCGTGCCAAATATTCTTTAAAGTCGATATATGGGTAGCCATATTGTGATTGCTTTCCTTTTGATATTTAAAGAAATCAAGACAAAGTTCGTAACTTCTATCTTCTGTTTCCCCATTGTAAAGATGGTTCAATTCATCCCACATCTCTTTCGAAGAAGTGAAACGCATGACTTGCTGCAGTGTCTCTTCAGACATGTTCGTAGTAAATATTATTAGGATTGTACTATCTACATTCACAAACTCTTTTAATTCATTCTCATATTTCTGATTCTCTTCAGCTGTAGCTGTATCCGATAGCATGGGCTTATATCGTTTACCTTCTATGATATCCATTGCTCCGGCTAAAGCTCTAAGCACGATGAGAATTTTAAACTTCCACGTCTTCCAGTTCTTAGAATCTAGATATCCTACCTGTATCTTTGACGCTTCAACTATTGATTTATCCATCTTCAAAAGTGTCAAAACAGACATCTGTTTCAAACAGAAATACGGGACAATCCAGCTGTTATCTAAGGTTTCGAACGCTCCAGAACGAGATTTGATTGTAACTTTCCTGCCACCATCTTCGGGAGCTCTGCGTCTGTATAAAGGGTAGCCATTGTCATTGTGCATTGTTTCTTTTAATAGCTGTTTAGGGAATTTCTTTGTACATTTTCCTTCTTTCATACATGGCGATATTGAATTTCGTGCTCCACATGGACAGTGAATCATATTTCGGACAATGGTATCATACAATTCTTTATCTTGCTCAGGATCCGGAATCTCGGCGCTTATTATGTCGTCTATTTGGCTGAACCGCAACTTTTCTTTAAGCCATATTAGAATGTGGGCATGCGGTGATCCTCTTTTTTGCCATTGAATTGAATACATGAAGCACTGCACCTCTCCGAGAATTTTCCCTTTGTTAATTACATACATTAATTTTTGTACTTTTAATCTAAATACTCTAGCAACTAAATCGTGTCTGTCAGTAATTTTTTGGCCCGGCATTAGCTCCTCGGTTATTTCTTTCCATGTGGGATTGCAAGTAACAAAAAGATCAGGTGTTCCGTAAGTTCGTACATAGGCGAATGGGTCTTGTGTGTACTTATGTAGGTAACGGGGACTGTTAACGAATGATGAGGGCAGAATTACCATTTTACCTAAATCTCTCGGGTTTACATTGGGGTCGCTAGAAACTGCATCTTGTAAATGTATATAATTCTCAACGCGCAGCTTTTTTTGATTTAAAGATATATAATGGAGACGTTCACTTTCTACCTTCACATACATATCTACCAAAAATTGATGAAATAATTGTCTACACCGGGCTAAGAGGTTAAAATCATTTTCTCGCAACATCATATGATACGCATAAAAATCTTTTTTGTTCGGAGTAGGCTCCTTTGTGACCGGGTTAATGAGTGGAATTTGAAAATGATAACCCTCGTGTCCTTTTCAATAAATCAATGGGTATTTCAATGGGTATTGAGCGTCATAAAACTTGTGTGTATCGGCTACCCGTTGCAACGTATCATCACGTGCTCGCAAGACAATGCCTCGTGAAGAAAATTGATCACCACTAATTACAGCTGCTATTTCGTTTATCAAAAGTGCATTGTAGCGCCTTTCATGCTCTCCTCGAGGGGTCCGATCTACGTGAATGACGACTTTATAATCCTCTTCAGGTAGGTTTTCTAAAGCAGTTTTAAATTTTTTGACTAAAATGTTACGTTCATGCAAGAATCTTTGAATTTTGAACACTGTTTCTCTCAACTCCCTGGATAAATTGGCAGCGACGGTCAACCTCAATTTCTTCGTCACCCATAAAATATACTTGTTTTTGCCTTCTCAGTTCAGCATCTTCTAAAGATTCTAGCGATCGAGCTAATCTTTTCGCTTGTCTTTGAGAAGATACTCTTGAAAGGCTGGACTTACGTTTGCGAGGCATTATGAAGTAACAAAAAACCTATTTATAAAAAAAAACGTCAAAATACCTAAAAGGAATTAAATTTCCTTTTAAATATGTTTTTAAAAGCAAATCCAAAATATCTAAAAGGAATAAATATTCCTTTTAAATATTTTTTTAAAACAAAACAACAAAACCAATTCAAGACACAACACAAATCCGAAAACGATAGCCAATAAAATCGAATCAACTTAAACCAAATCGCAGAAAACCGAAATCGAAAGCAGTAGTCAATATAAATATAACCAACGAAAAAAGAAGTAAGTGTATAGGTACCGTATACACTTTCTATACTATTAATATTTTTTTGAAATATTGTTAAACAACCTAAAACAACGAAAACCAATTCACGATTCTAAATACTTAAACAAAATCCAAAATCAAAGCCAGAGTCTAAATATGTATAAGGGAATACCAACCAAATCAACAAAACCGATCCAAGAAAATACACAAATCTGAAAATGAAAGCCAATATAAATCCATTCAACCCTAACCAAATCACAATGCAAATAACAAATAACCGAAATCGAAACTATAACTATAAATAGAAACAATTTAAGCGTATAGGTACCGTATGCACTATAAGTTGACGCGCGGCTCAACGGCGGGAGTTAAGTACATGTCAGGAAACATTTCGTTACCGCGTTTTAAAAACCTAGTAATGACATCTAGCGGAATCAATTTAAACTTTGTATACGTTAGTTAATAAGAACTCTCAAAAAATATTTTTCTTATAATTTTGCACAATTTTTCTTATTGTAATACCGATTCATACATAACCACATATAAGAACTGTATTCATTTCCGTTTAATAAATATTACTAAGGCTTATTAATAAGGCTTACTAAGAACTACTTCTACCACAGTTAAGTAATAGTTAAGGGTGAAAGCGTGACAGGTGGTGATAGTATTTCTGATCCATACTTATAATCACGCCGGTAACCCTTGTGGGGTAGGCAGAGCATTAACGGATTACTTAATATCGTCTGCGAGGTTATCGCCTATTCTGTGAATTACAATGCACCAAAACGTTTGAAGAAAATCAGCTGGTGAATTTTATGTTTTTTATCGCTCTCTTCCCGGTCTTGTGTGGAAAAATACAGATCCATACACTTTTTATCTTAATTTTGGTAAAAAGACATAATAATCCAGATATTACGACCTTCTGTGTTCGTCCATCGTACCGTCGTCCGTCTTGTAGAATCACGGTGGCGCCACCTAGCTAAATTTAATTTTGCAACATATTCGATTTTCCCACTGTAATGATATGTTTTTCCGCTGAAAAAAGTAGCCTATGTCACTCTACAGCCACCGAACTATCTATGACATACAGATCCATACATTTTTTATCTTAATTTTGGTAAAAAGACATAATAATCCAGATATTCCGACCTTCTGTGTTCGTCCATCGTACCGTCGTCCGTCTTGTAGAATCACGGTGGCGCCACCTAGCTAAATTTAATTTTGCAACATATTCGATTTTCCCACAAAAACAAAAAATCATGCCATGCCGACGCTCTGTTGCGACGTGAAAGAAGGACAAACAAACAAACAAACACACTTTGGCATTTAT